CAGATGACACTAGTTCAGAAACAGCTGATCTTGTGGTTCACCGCCGGGCCGCGCATCAGTCGCCCGCGCCTGCGCAGGGTACAGCCGGGGTACAGCGCTGGATGTGCGCGGCGCTCGCCGAGCCGAGATACTAGACACTAGACTAGACAGTGAGTCTGAGTCGCAGTCGGGGTCGGCGACGGCGAGGCGGGAGCATCGATGTATAATAACTACATCGATGGGCCGGAGTCGACAGTCAAGTCGACAGCAAGGTGTTTTTTCAAATTCGTTTTGTTATCGCGTAGGTCCGTGAGAACACGGTGTTACCTAAAATGATGTGTGGTGTTTAGTTTGTAGTCAATGTTTATTGTAATCTATGTATAAAGTCAAAAGTACCCATGAACTTTTGATAAAACTACAAGTCACACCCCCATAAACCATATACTTAAAATGTTCGTCATGACGAGAAACCTTGCGCAAAATTATTCATTATTTCATAAACTGCCCTATAAGGTCGTAATTGCTTTCCAAAGGGAACTTTCCATTTACCTAATGTTAAAAATACCTCAGCTGTTATTATTTGTTTGCATTACCATTACTGTATTCTGTTTTGTTTATTTCATCTTAACTTAACCAATCAATAGTTTTATTAATACTATTGTAGTAACAGGGGTGGAGCCCGTGGGTAACCGATAGTTACTGTAGCAGCAATTCAGCTGTGAGATATTTGATTTATGGGAGTAAAAGAAAATAGTTGATTTATTAGAGTGATTGTAATTTTTTGCTGGCTTCTTTACTAACTAACACGCTTTCATTTGATTGTATTTCAGAACTGTACTAACAATTGCTATACCATTGCTGCACTAACCATTATTCATTGTCTGTTATACTAGAACCAGTGCACAGTAGCTATGTTCTATGTAGTCGCTTAGCCGCTACTTATTGCAATACTTATTGCTGGTTATACCCCCCTTTACTTATCCCTAAGGTACATGATGTTGATACTGTCGTGTCCGTTAAAGTGTCCTCTATCTGTTGGCATCATCGGTAATATTGCTCGCGGACGTATTTTTCCGCAATACGGCCGGCAATAGATTTTATCGGGCGCGCGCACTACTTATTGCTGGTTATACCCCCCTAAACTTATCCCCCAGGTACATGATGTTGATACTGTCGTGTCCGTTAAAGTGTCCTCTATCTGTTGGCATCATCGGTAATATTGCTCGCGGACGTATTTTTCCGCAATACGGCCAGCAATAGATTTCATCGGGCGCGCGCACTACTTATTGCTGGTTATACCCCCCTAAACTTATCCCCCAGGTACATGATGTTGATACTGTCGTGTCCGTTAAAGTGTCCTCTATCTGTTGGCATCATCGGTAATATTGCTCGCGGACGTATTTTTCCGCAATACGGCCAGCAATAGATTTCATCGGGCGCGCGCACTACTTATTGCTGGTTATACCCCCCCAAACTTATCCCCCAGGTACATGATGATGATACTGTCGTGTCCGTTAAAGTGTCCTCTATCTGTTGGCATCATCGGTAATATTGCTCGCGGACGTATTTTTCCGCAATACGGCCGGCAATAGATTTTATCGGGCGCGCACTACTTATTGCTGGTTATACCCCCCTAAACTTATCCCCCAGGTACATGATGTTGATACTGTCGTGTCCGTTAAAGTGTCCTCTATCTGTTGGCATCATCGGTAATATTGCTCGCGGACGTATTTTTCCGCAATACGGCCGGCAATAGATTTTATCGGGCGCGCGCACTACTTATTGCTGGTTTTACCCCCTCTAACTTATCCTCCAGGTACATGATGTTGATACTGTCGTGTCCGTTAAAGTGTCCTCTATCTGTTGGCATCATCGGTAATATTGCTCGCGGACGTATTTTTCCGCAATACGGCCGGCAATAGATTTTATCGGGCGCGCGCACTACTTATTGCTGGTTATACCCCCCTAAACTTATCCCCCAGGTACATGATGTTGATACTGTCGTGTCCGTTAAAGTGTCCTCTATCTGTTGGCATCATCGGTAATATTGCTCGCGGACGTAGTCAAAGTCAAAGTCAAAATAAACTTTATTCGTATGAATACATTGCAGCATCAGAATAGAGTCACATATAACTAAAAATCCCATACTTTCATGCTATATAGCTAAAATACAATATATTTAAAACTATATATAAAACCCAGGCAACCAGTAGTGGAGCCCTCACTTAAGGAAACTCCGAAAAAGAATAGAGAGCTTTATTAACAAGATATTCTTTCAGCAATTTTTTAAATTTATTGTAATTTTGCTCATTTCTAATTAAATTTGGCAACTGAGTAAAAAATTTGGTGCCCATATATTTAGTTTTGTTTTTATAAAAATGCAGATTATGTTTATCAAAAATAATTTTATTTCGGGTATTATAATGATGCTTGGATTCAAAAAATATATCACTTTCATGTTCTTTGACATACTTTATTGTTTCTAAGACATAAAGACTGTAAACTGTCAAAATTTTAAGATCTTTAAATAAGTTTTCGACACTCTCTGTGCTATTTAAACCTAACATTATTCGTATTGCTTTTTTTTGTTTTATCAGAATTTTGTCCAAATTATATATTGAGGTAGCTCCATATATACAAATTCCGTATGCCAGATGAGAGTGTATTAAAGAATAATATATTGTTTTTAGCACTGTAAGGTCAGATATTTTTGACATTTGCCACAGTGCATATATTCCTGATGACATCTTTTTCACTACATTATCAACATGATCATTCCAAGATAGATGTCGATCAATGAAAAGTCCTAAAAATTTTGTCTGATTTGCTTTATTTATTATGTTATTGCCAACTTTGATTTTTGGATCCAGAGCTATTTTATTTTGTTTCGTGGAGAAACTTATTATCATTGATTTGCTTGTATTTAATAGAAGGTTATTTTGATTTAAAAAATTTTGAATACTCATTAAGTCCAAATTGGCTGAGAGCTCAATATCAGAACTGGAATTTCCTTTAACAATTAAATTAGCATCATCTGCATATAGTGACATCGAACTGAAGCTGGTACTCTTAGGCAGACCATCCAGGTAACACAAAAAAAGTAATGGACCCAGGATGGATCCCTGAGGTACTCCATACTTAATCACCTGAGCTTCACAGACATAGCTTCTTAAATAATTACAATAATTACCATAATCTAGATATTTCATTTCAACAAACTGATGCCTATTACATAAATAAGAGGAAAACCAAGCACACTCTTTTCCTTGAATACCCAGTGATTTTAATCTTTCAATTAAAACAGGGTGTGCCACACTGTCAAAAGCACGGGAGAGGTCAAGGAAAATACCCACCACCCTTTCACCCTTATCAACTGCATCAATTATGTTTTCAATAAATTCAACTGCAGCAGTTATTGTGGACTTCCCTTGCCGAAAACCATGCTGCTCTTTATCTAACAAATTATTCGATTCTAAATCCGTATTTTTCCGCAATACGGCCGGCAATAGATTTTATCGGGCGCGCGCACTACTTATTGCTGGTTTTACCCCCCTTATTTTATCCTCCAGGTACATGATGTTGATACTGTCGTGTCCGTTAAAGTGTCCTCTGTCTGTTGGCATCATCAGTAATATTGCTCGCGGACGTATTTCTCCGCAATACGGCCAGCAATAGATTTTTTCGGGCGCGCGCACAACTTATTGCTGGTTTTACCCCCCTTAACTTATCCCCCAGGTTCATGATATTGATACTGTCGTGTCCGTTAAAGTGTCTCTATCTGTTGGCATCATCGGTAATATTGCTCGCGGACGTATTTCTCCGCAATACGGCCAGCAATAGATTTTTTCGGGCGCGCGCACAACTTATTGCTGGTTTTACCCCCCTTAACTTATCCCCCAGGTACATGATATTGATACTGTCGTGTCCGTTAAAGTGTCCTCTATCTGTTGGCATCATCGGTAATATTGCTCGCGGACGTATTTTGCCGCAAAACGGCCAGCAATAAATTTTTTTGGCCGCGCGCACTACTTATGGCTGGAGTTATTGCCAGGTTCACACCAATTTAGCATAGCCCAGTTAAGAAACTGTACCCTCAACTAGTATGGGTGTAGTTTACTGGAGACAGTAACGGTGGAGTACACAGTTTTATTTGAACACTAAAGTCCTAAAAATAATTGATCATAGGTCTATGTGGTACTTAGGCCTAGGACATCATTAATCAGCATCACTTACTGCTGTTGACCCTTTGCGCACAGCTTCTTGGGCATACTCCACCTGAAGAAGATGTCCATCTGGTGAAAATACTGTAATAGCTCTATCGTATCTTGCCGAACCCATTATTAGCCACAAAAGGTAGTGCTTTTTAAATTAAGACTGTTTCAGTTTATAACCTTAAAACATGGAGAGGATGAGATGATACTTTGATTTGATTCCTTTGCTTCTTCTTCTTCTTCTTCTTCTTCTTCAAGCTGCCAATTCCTGTTTTGCTTCATTTAAAAAGCGTGTCATGCTCGTCATGCTAGATATAGAGTATAAAAACTGATAATTATACTTGAAGTTATTAGTGGCAATGAATAAACATAACACGTGGACACCCGCTAAGGGTGGTCTGGACCTAGCATTAATAACATTTTTGGGTGATAGAGCAACACAATTGTGACTTAAATCCACAATAAAAAAAAATATATATTCCTTACACCCACTTGCAAATACATTATTTTGATTTTTTTTAAACCTGTACTTTTACACAACATTTTAAAATTCCTTATTGTTTTCATACATTTTTATAACTTTGGCACTACCATCATAATCACTTCTCCATTAAATTCTATCTTTAGTCAATGATTCTATGTAAGAAATAATAGAGATCGTTGTGTAAGAATAGACAGCTTTTGCTGAGCCCAAAGCTTCAGAATTGCTATTTAAATTGATTAGAACTAAGAATTATTGATTATCCCCCAAAAAGGTTAAAAATAAGCCTACATAAACTTTTTTTAAGAAAAATACTAGAGATTGGCAACTTACTTAATTAATTCTGCCTCTTCTACCGGTTGGTGTCGAGGATACAAGGTGCCTCTCAGCCTCCATGACTTTCTGTCTGCAGTGAGTGGTAAAACATCACGAATGGAGCTGCCCCTCTCACACAGAGCGTCCTCTATCTCTTCCTCCAATTTCCTTCTCGGTCTACCTCTCTTGCACTTTCCTTCGACTTTGACCTCTTTCATGATCTTCGGAATCCGAGTTGTGGGCGTACCATGAACATGCCCAAACCACTTTAGTTGCTGTTCCTGTATTGTGGTAGCTATGAGCTTAACATCTAAAGTGTTTCTTATTGCAACATTCCTTATCCTATCCCTTCTAGTTTTGTTCTCTACTTTCCTAATCTCCATTGCTTGGAGCTTACTTTTGAGTCTTTTTGGTCAAAGTCCAGGATTCACATCCATAGGTCAAGGTAGGCACAAAGGTAAATTTATAGCAAAACTGGGCATGTTCACCTTCTTTACTGGAGTCTATTGAAAAGTCTCACTGCCATAACTGGGAAGCTGTTTAGTGACTTGGCTAGTCTGCATCTTGGCACATCCAGATCGATAGCTCCTCTAGTGCTGATGTTGCACCACGCTGTATAAAATATCACCAATGTTCTCCTTAACGTAGCAGACGATGTCAAGTACATATTGATTAAAGATGGTAAGAATGTTAAGAGAGGAGAACAGAGGCTTACTCTTTGTGGTCTCGGCGGCCTACCGAAGTCGAAAGCCTCACTGCTCTCTTCTGAAAAGCCGCAGAATCTTTCTGACTCTTGAAAGAGTGTCCCCATATAATATTAGCCCATATGAGACGTGACTGTTGAACAGGGCGTAATAGGCCGATACCAAAACATCCACTGATTTTTTTTTTTCAATTTCCTCAGCAAAAAGAGGACTCTAGAAAGCCTATGACAGACCTGAGTTGCGTGTTCACCCCACGACATCTTCGGATCAATCCAGAAGCCAAGGAGCTTCAAGGGGCTCCCGCATCAGTCATCTTCATAGTGCAAATGAGTCACTGAGTCATATCCTCGTTGAGCTGCAACTTGTTGCTCACAAACCAATTCTTGGCCTCGTCAAGTAATCCGTCTTAGTCCAGACGGATTTGTTCTATGTCCCTTGCCAGAAGGGTAGTGTCATCCGCATATAAAAGTGAGCGGCCCTGAAGATCTAAATCATTGACAAGAATTACGAAGATAAGAGGACCAAGCACAGACCCTTGACGAACCCCATGTCGCAAACTAAGCTCTTCTGAGCGAGCACCTTCAACCTCCACTACCTGCTTCCTGCTTCTCTATTTTTGGTGGCCTACAATGCGTCATCGATCTCTATTACTACAACTGCATCTGAATGCAGTTATTGTTTAGTACGAATGATTTATACTAATACTAAGTAAATAAATAATAATTGAAAAAACCCTAATTTCAAGCATTTGTATATTTTTGGTTCCTAGCCTTCGTCGTTAATTTTAGTGCTTTGTTGTGCTGTAGAAACTTAATAATGTTGTTATATGTAGTGTCTTATGACTATTAATTTTGTGGCTATTAAAATGACTTTTGAATAGGCCAGACACCGATTTTCTTAGTTCCGCCCGGGGATAGTGGATGGCGCGAAAGTGCCGTCTTAGGAGGCAACCCATAAAAGTAGTTCCATATTAGTACTTCATTTATTATTACTTATCAAATAATAGAATAGCTTAATTTACTGTATTTTTGAATGTGTTGACATTTTTGTTGGATTGTAGGGTAGGCAAAGAATCTAGGGGTTATTAAACTTATATTATTTCATGTGTCAATCGTAATATTTAAATCCCTTTTATTTTGCATTACTCAGCTATAAAATCACATTAAATATTTTTTTCTGATATACTGTACAATAAATCCATAGTTAAACTACTCTATATAACTTTTGGGCTATAATATTTTTCTTAATATAATATTTTAGGAAACAAATTTTAATTTTTAAAATTTTGCACTTGACACGAGACCGAGAACGAGGTGGCTCTTGGCGGAGGAATACTAATGACGTCCCTTCAAGGCAATTCCATTGCCGGTCCATGAATTTTGCGGTGTTGTGGACGTGTAAATTTCCTATTTCTTGTTAAATTTATGCAATGATAGTTAAGATGGCTTCAGAAGCTTCAGCTCAGTTAATCCAAATCCTCGAAAAAACTGTTTCTCCAGGTATGTATTCGTTTGTTACTTAAATATTTCCATATCATTCCTACTTGAGTAATCAGGGTTGGGTGAAGACTATCTAGAGGCCATTTAATGTTCGAATTAAGTATTCTAAGGTAGGTCTAGTCCTATCATGCGGCCTGAGTTTATGCGTCTGAATTTTGTTAGCCTACATTCTGTTGTATGTAAGATAAAATTGATATTATAGACTCGTCTAGGCCTAGGTTTGTGCTTCCTAAAACCTACATGCCATGACACCTTGTACAAGGCCATTGGCTCAAGAGACCTAGGTAAAATTGAATGTGTCCCTATTCCATATTTGGTTGTGTTTTGTGATGGGCTACTGTAAGTTAGGCCAATCTACTGTTCCTATTGAGTTTTAAGGCCTAAGTTTATCAATTTTTATAAACTGGTGAGCTGTGCACACTTTAAGTAGGCCCCTAAGTTAGGCCTAAACTTAGTGTAAGGATTTAGGGTTAACTTAAGCCTTGTTCACACTTTACAACTTGTTTTGTAAACTTGTGTTGTATAACAAATTAACTGGTAAGTTAGGGACCTAACTTAAGTTAGATCTAGGCTAGTAAGTTTTAGCCAAGGCCTAATAATTGGTTAACAGAAATCAGAAACTTTTTATTGCCGTAATTTGCAAGGTACATGCATATGACAAAGTCAACAACAAATGAGGTTCAAGTTCAACCAAGAAAATAAAACTAGATACCGGTAAAACATAAATAGACAAAACATTTGTCTGGGCAGTCATAATGGATCAAAATAAAAATGTAGCTATGCAAGCATCGAGCTTATCAGAAACAAGACAGTAAAAGGTCAACAATTGTTCATACAGATCATCGAATAACCCTCCGAGTGTCCATGGTTTAGGCCTTAATGTCCGCCTATTTTTGGCGCATTTGCAAGATTTTATTAAAACGGATCTGAAAAGCTTATAAAACAATGTTAATTCTACTGTTCTATATACCATTTTGTTTGGAAAATCATGGGCTTCAATATCATACATAAAACCTAAGGAATATGTGTTTCAAAAATTTTTTTTTAGGTAAAAATAAAAATTATTTTGGAAAAATTGAAAAAAAAATAAGTTCGCGCTCAATGAAAATTTGTATAAATTATAGGCCTATAAATATTTGAAAATAGCCACATTGTTCTAAATTTTATGAGGATTACAAATAAATAATATAAGGAAGTAGATTTGCAAATAAATAAGTTATGGGCAAAAAACAGATTTCAGTACATAGCGTTTAGCTAAGAATGCATAGCCTAACCATAGCTAGGAATCTGGCTGATAATTTACATCAATATCACTACCTACTTCTTCAGGATCATCAACCAGCCCTTCAAAATCACTTAAATCTTCTTATAATGCACCACGTATATCACTACTTTTGATTTTTAACACTAAAACAATGATAAACATAATAAAACACATCAGTCATCGGTCCGAGGTTAACTAACCTGTTTACAAATACGCACGTCAGCTGTCTGCTACAATTACGATCGGCTCGGAGAACATAAAGCGCTTAGAGACAGACCTCTGGAGAAAGCTTAGAATCTAATGAAAAGAACGATACCTAACTCGATCCAGTTCAATCCGATTTTGTCAGTCATAGAGCCTTCGCCGTAAACAGTGTTCACTACACAAACACTAATAGTTTAGGCAAAAAATTGACACTACACAAAGTGTGTTACGCGTCGCTGCAGCGACGCATGACACTCGGAGGGTTAAAACATTTAAAAAAATACAATACGGTAACTTTCAAGTTGTAACTTAAGTTAGGTCTACAATAAGGATGTTGTACAACCTTAAAATAGTGTTGGTACAACCTTATCTTATAACTTATGGGTAAAGTTTCTTAGGTTAACTGGGCTACGCTAACTTATTATCGATTGAAAATATTCTATAGATTCAATTAGGTTAGTAAGTTAAACTTTAACTTAATTCCTTTTTTTACCATATCTAAAAAACACAATTGTAACTTAGCGTAAATTAGCCTTAGAACTTAACTTAGCCCAGTAAAAAAAACTGTACCTTTTTACGTTAAGTTGCAGCGTTCCCTACTTAGCCTACCCATTTCGGAAATGACAAACATGTTTACCCACATCGGTTTTGCTATCTGGGATCTAGATCAGTTTGCTCCCATGAGTAGGCATAGCCCAGACAAAAGTCTACATTTGCCATTCTTAAAAAGTTTTACCAACAGTCCTCAATTCCCTAGCCAACAACTCTTTTTATCTTGTTCAAAATCTCGTAACATTTCACTGCCACTGTATTTAAGTTAATCCTATAGCTTGCAGTGACAAACCTACCACCCAACGACGCTTTGCCCTTGTCTTTCTATCACAGGAAATCACGGCACAAACAGCCTGCCAATAATAGATCACGATCCTCGCCCCTTATAGCAATAACTTAAGTTAATGATAACTGTGTAAGTTTTTGGGCGAGCTCTCTTAGCCATCATTGTTTTTGGGATGGCGCATACAACTTGTTTTACAACATTAAGTTAGTTAAGTTCATATTTCATATTTCCGCTTCACTTCATATTTCATACTATGGTACTTAAAACAAAGTTAAACTAAGTTTAAGTTAACTTAAGTTAAACATGTTTGACAAACTAAAGTTTGTAAAACAAGTTGTATAGTGTAAACACAGCTTAAGGTCTCCATCAATACAATACACAGCAACAATACAATATTGGCAGTCTAGTCCAATAAATAGCTGGGTAGCTTAGTGGATATAGGCTAGTGCTCGCCTAGTACCGGTAGTCAAAAGGTCGCCGGTTCGATCCTGAGAAAAGTGAGTTAAGTTAGGCCAGGCTTAAGTTAGCATTTTGATGGTTGGAAACTGGACCCAGCTGCCCTTGATCATTGGGCTTTCATTAAATAATGGTCATGACTAATGAAACAGCTGGTCTTACAGTAGGTAATTAATAAAACCTGCACAAGGCATCACACTCCGTACACTCATTGTCATTCGATTAAGTTATTTTACCTATTAAATAATTAGGCCTACACTGAACTTCTTAAGGTTGCGTGCTCTCATTTTAAAACAAAAACAATCCAAAATGTGAACAATAACACAAGTCATGTGTTGAACAATTATTAACATAGGTAAGTTATTCAGATGATATTAACTACTAAGTGACTGTCATCCCTCCTTCACAAGTAAAAATTATTTGTTTTTTTTTTAATCCTCTCGCCGCTTCTTACAACAGAAGCTGAGTCATTGTTAAAATGTTATTCTAACCTGGGCGACTGACTTTCGTTCACATGATGGGAGATTCTGAATGACTTACGTCTTGTCTTATGATCCATGAGTTTCTTCGGTATTCTCGTCCATCACCTGTCTGAATTTGGTACGATCATGGTTCAGGGCCAACTTGAACTATTTTTGCTCTCAGCCAACACTTGGTTTGAATATGAAAAGCACTGATTCACTGAGTTTGAACTGATCAAGCTCTGTCTTCCTCATATTACCATACAGAATATTATTTTGCAATCCGGAGGCTAACATCCACAATCTACGGTACTTTATCAAAGTTTATACCAGATGCTTCAGTTGATAGTTCCTTCTCGACAAGTTCTCACTGAGAAAAATGTGGCTTGGTTCTGGGATACACCACAACAAAAATCATTTAGGCCTAACAAGTTCAGCAAAAACTGAAAAAAAAAAACTCGGCACCAGGGTTGCCACCCGTCCCAATTCTGCCGTTACAGTCCCGATTTCGGTACCTTATGCCTGCGTTTAAGCCTATGTTAATCCGAGGGGAAAAGGGGCCATGTCCCGATTTTTCCCTAAGGTAGCAACCCTGCTCGGCACTGTCATTAGGTTAATTATTAAATAACTAGGCCTATTGTACATCTAAAGGTGGTGTATTCTCATTTTAAAACAAAAACTCAATCCAAAATGTAAAACGTAACACCAAGACATATGTTATTAACATATTAACTACTAACTGTCACACTCATTCTTCACTTATATTTGGGTTAAAACACATATTTTTAATTCCCCATCAAACGATACCAAGTTCAAAAAGATCGAATAGAAAATAGCTGAATTATTACGATTTTTAATAGTAAAATGGGGTAGAATAAGGCAGAAGCTAGTCAGGTTTGCCCCATTTTACAACTAATATTTCAGCTATTTCTTATTTGATCTTCGTTTGATAGGGAATTAAAAATTCTAAATAAAAGTGTTCTTGACATTTCTTCATAATAAGCCGTTTTTGAGTACCGGTAATTTAAGTTTAAAAAATTAAAATGGCCGCCATTTAGAAATTTTTCATTGAATCAAGATGAATTTTTTTTCTTAAATTAGGCTAGTCTTTTCTACTTTAACCTACGTACCAAGTTTTATAAAAATCTGTTGAAAAAATTCAAAAATAAAAATGTTTTTGTAAAAAAATAAAAAAATGGCGGATATCTGGTTAACAAAGCGATTTTGAAAAAAAATATGCTATTTTCGATTTTCTCTTTATTTTGACCCATAGAACCATTTCCCGGAGTTTGGCTGTTTACTTACGGGACACCCTGTATAATTCAGTGTTTTATCTCAGCTACAAAAATTTTACAATGGGATAGAAAATACTTTAAACCAGACAACTGAAGTTATTAAAGCATTTTACAGCCCTATATTATTTTATAGAACATTTCGGTTAATCCAAATTCGGTCAGGGGTTCTAGTGTATTTTGTCTAACAGCAACTTCTGTTTTGTAGATAAAAATGAGTTGGAGGCTGCCCAGAGCTATTTGGAACAAGCTGCTCAGACTAATCTGGTAATTATATAGTTTAGTGTTCAATAGATTGTAAAATGAATTAACTTATTAAATTTAAGAAAATGTACTCTGCCAACTATAGCCTATTCAGTAGACCAAAATGTCTTAGTTTTGCAAGTAAACAAGAAGAATAAGAATCTTTAATGCCCTTTAAACATTTTATAGTGCAATAGGGTAGTTTCATTTTTAAATAGATTGTCTTAATATATAAATAATAATACAATGTAATTAAATGTATCAAAAGAAAGAGTAACAAAGATAATTTAATTAAATAAGTTAAAACAAGCTGGCCTAGTAATAGTTTGTGTAAGTTTATATGTGTATTGAAATAAGTGAGAGGTAATGTTTTTTTTTAAGTGCTTACCCATACAAGATAAGTAGGTTTACCATAGATTAAGACGGTATGAGTAATCAACTCCACCTCAGAGGTGTAACTATCTGTAAGATGACTTAATAAACACTTGAGGGGAAAATATAAGTTGACTTTGGAGTGTCCAACGCTGGTTCAAAATTTAGGATCCCAAACAAAAATTCTACAAAAATGACTAGCCTATATGAATTTTTGACGTGTAACACAGGCTTCGGCTGGCATTTTTTTGCTAATGAATTATTTTCTTCCACATCCTAATGTTTGTAGTGACTATAAAATTAAAAATTTTAATAAAATAAAAATATACAGATATTGATTTTACCCTACATTTGTACAATTATAAGACTAAGAATATTTATTTTCCTTTGAACATTAAATGCATTTGGAATCGTCAGTTAAACAACACATTCTGCACGAAATATCACAAAGCGCTACAAATACAATCAACATGTTCCTACAAAACTTTCGACAGTTCTAAAATAAATAAATAATTAGTTTCTACTATGTTTAAAATGCTACAAGTACAGTTCAAACTAAAAGATGGTAGGTCTAATTACACATGCAAGTCAAATAAATATCACAGCTCAAGAGTCAAAAACTTAAAAATATTGTAGCCTATGTTGTGAGGAATTTAAAAAGATACCCCCGCTGCAGCAACCTGCCGACGCGAATTTCCATTAGCCTGAATTGATTTTCAATTAAATCTATTAAATTAACATTTAGGTTTAACGAGAAGGCCTACCTAGGTTTGCTGCTACAGGTAAACTAACAAAGTGTGATTTTTAGTAAAATTTTAATAGCTTAGTATATAATAATTAAATCTCTTAAAACACGCTTACCCTCCGTGTAGCACCAAACCTAGGTACTTGTTTTTAAACCTAATGTTATTTACATAGATTTAATTTAAAATCAATTCAGACAAATGGAAATTTGTTTAGTCTGCAGGTTTGCTGCAGCGGGGGTATTTTAACTTACAATACTTTATGGATCGTCCCTTGAAGAGATTTTTGCTCTTGATTTTCTACTATTTATGTTATCTTTTTAATCTTTAGAATACCTACTTAAATACCTGATTAGACCTTAAAGAACACAATTTAAAATACATTTATATAAAGCGCCATATTTAAAAAAGGCATAGTATAGGCTACAGATTTGTAAGTACCCAAAATGTTTGTAATATAAAGACTTAGCACAGGCTGTGTGTTAAATCAGTAGCTTGATTGACTAGGCCTACATATCCTTGGCAGCAACGTAATGAATTTGAGTTCTAGTGCTACCAATGAAATTGGTCAGCAGACTACAGTTAAATTATTTCACTATAACGGGTAATTCCTTGGTTTGTTTGATACATGCACCGCTAATGCATAACATAATGTTCTGCGTTTAAATTTTCAGCCTGAATTTGTCAAAACACTTTCCGATGTGTTACACCATGGGGGCAACAGCCCAGTTGCTAGGATGGCTGCGGGTCTTCAACTCAAAAATACCCTCACTTCCAAAGACCAAACAGTCAAACTACAATACCAACAACGATGGCTGGCATTCCCAGAAGATGTCAGACTGTATATTAAAAAGAATGTAAGTATGATTTTTAAGCAATTCCTTTTTAAGACAAGAGCTTTTGTAGTTGCATGGCTTTAGTCTCTAAACTTGTAATACAAGAATCATTCATCAAAGCAAAAATAGATTTGAGTAAGGCATTTTGTTTAGAATACTTCACCACATAAGAACATAATTCAGAGATGATTGTCAATTCAGAGACCTAAGAGTAACTTAACTTGATTTTTTTTTTTTGCTGAGAGAAGATTGTAAACTGTTTCGCTGAGTCAAGCAAGTAACGTAGAACAATATATTATAGGTTAGGCGTTTTTGAAGGTTATTGTACACTTTTTTAGTTGCTCATTAGGCCCTACCATAAATTTTAGACTTATTTAACTTTGCTTGTTGTATTCAACCAGTAAAGAGATGAGTGTCTTCATTGTTAAAAGTTGGACAGAGAAGATTACGAAGCTTAAAATTATTTTGGTTTCAGTGGTATCCCTTGTAAAATCAAGTTGCTTTCTTTTGTTAAAAAAGTTAATTTTTGCAACCGATTTAATATAAGCCTAGGCAAGTGTATTCCAAGTTACCTTAGGCAGATAACCTGCTTGCCAACTGACTGTGTAAACACGGCTTTGGGGCTATGAGATTTGGGATACTTTGCAGTTTTTTTGTATATTTTATTTTTTTATATATATCTTATATTATAAATGTGAAAGTTTGTCTGTTTGTTTGTATGTGTGTATGTTTGTTTGTTTGTTTGAAGTTCAATCATGCATTAACTACTTGGCGGATTAGGCTGACATTTGGCATGATGATGGCTCACTATCCCGATTAACATATAGGCATATTCTTATCTCAAAAATCCTCTCGGGCTCCGCCCCAATGGATCTGTAGTTCCCCATGTTAACCTTATGAGTAGGCCTATTCATATTTAAAGGGAATTAAAGAATTTAGTAAGCTGTGTCAACTAAAAAAGTTGGTTCTATGCAAAAGCATCAAAAAGTTATAAGATTTACCAACAGGGTGCAGCACTAATATTTTGTTTTGCATTTATGAAAACAGCTAATTTGAACTAAGCAGCAAAAAAAAACCCCCCGTGATACGCAATGAGAACTGTCAAAGTAGGATTTTTTACAGTTAAGTTATATTTTAAATTTCATGATTAATTTGTGATATGCAAATTTTTAATAATTTATTTTTCTTTATTGTTTGGATGAAGTGGTAGAACATTATGGCTATGGTAGCCTAGATGTGTAATACTATAGTATACCATAAATTTAAAGAAGCAAATTTTATCAAACCCATTGCACACGCAAAGCTTGAGTATAACTGCAATAAGCATTTTATACTTAAATGCCAACCCCGTACGAAGGACGGGTACTCTGCTAGTATATAGGCCTATATATGTCCGTTAGCACAATAACTCGAGCAGAAATGATCCGATTTTGATGATATTTGGTATAAACGTGTAAACCTACACTTATTCAAACAAATTCGCGAACCAGCATGATCAGACTATGGGAACGGGGGTTTATGAGGGGGTTTTATTGGGTAAAAAATTTTCAATTTGGGTTTTTTCAATTTTTGGCCCAAAAAACATAAAATTTAGCAATCTATTTCCAAACCACTTTGTAGAGCTTAAAAAAACAAATAGTTTAGTATATTGAAGTGTTATTATGCGGCTAATGGCTACGGAGAAAATAAAAAAAATGGTAAATTAAAAATTCCCATGTTTTTCTTATGGAGAATAAGTAAACTGTTGTAGTTTGCTTGTGAACATATTTTGATCAAATTTGAGATCAAAATACATTTATTTCTTACCAAACTATTAACATTTTACAAAAAAAGTTTTTAACCCTCCCTGTTGCAGCAAACCTAAGAGTACTTGCTAAACAAATTCTATTTAAATAGGGAAAAAATGTTTGGTAGGGAGACATTTTAGCGTAAATTCAATCAGGCAAATGGAAATTCACTTAGTCTGCAGGTTTGCTGCTGTGGGGGTATTTTATATTACTTGCTATTCACAGTGCCTATTTACCATGAACTAATCTCTCTATATATCTCAATAACTCATATCTTCACTTCATCACTTAACACCTTTTTCCATTGAAAACCAGGCTGGTTTGACTCTGCCAACGTATTGCCTCCACATTCTTGGGTCTTCTGCTACCTTTATAGCTGAGTAGAGCCTTCTCAGGTCTTAAGTAACTTTGTTATTCTAACTCATTCTTGGTCTTTCTAGACCTCTTTGTTTTCCTTCCCGCACACTTAAATTGATCAATTCATTACACTTCTTGTATAGGGTAGGCCTACAAATGACCCAACCAATTTAGTCAATAAGTTTTTATCATTCCTTCAATGTCTGGTTCTTGATATAATTCTCGTATACATTAATCTCGTCCTTCTTCTCCAAGTGCCATCTTCCTAAACCTGTCCAGGTATATGCGCGAATCTTGTTTTCAAATGTTCCAAGAATTTTCTCTGATTGTTTCCTGAGGGTCCAATGACCCAGTAAGTAAAATGTCTGATGGTTACTTGTATATGTTGACAGATCGTCGGAGCCCTGGGTACGGAGAACAACAGACCAAGTTCAGCGGCACAGTGTGTCGCGTACGTGGCCGTGGCCGAGCTACCAGCTGGACAGTGGCCGGACCTTATCAGTCTGTTGGTCAACAACGTCATCAGCGGAGGCAGCACTGAGATGATGAAGGAGGCCACACTAGAGGCCATCGGCTACATCTGTCAAGACATTGTGAGTAAACACACTCTCTTATGGGCTAGAGAGACAGTTGCAAAGATATTTTCGCTAAGTTGCAGACGGTGTTTTTGTTTTGTTTTGTTTTTAACTATTTAACAAAACAAATCAACCATATTATAAATGCTTGTACAGTTTTATGACCAAACTGGCACAAATTGTCTACCCTAAAATTTATTTATTTAATTTGTTATTGTTGTTATAGATATTTAAATAATTGCCAATGTTATTTTTTAAGATATTTATTTGTACATTATTTATTGATATTAGTCCGTTTTTGTCATATATTGTATTGTTGTGAGTGATTACACTAATAATTATAATTTATTCAGCAAGATGAACTTTTACCATATTTATTATTTATAATGCATGTCAAGATTTTGATGTTCGAATATTAATGCTACAATGTAATTGGGTTTATCCTGTTTTGCAGCATTGTAATAAAATAAAAAAAAAATAAATAAAAAAAAAAGAGAACATTTAGTCAACATTTAAAAAACTTAACAATTTACAACTACCGGTAACCATTATAATCTTTATGAAAAAGGTCCTCTTTATGTTGCCCTGAGGTTTTACAGTGTGCGCTGCCTGCAAGCTACAAGCTGTTTAATTTAAACTAGAGGTCGTCTAGAACTTCGTCAAATGGTCGAAAACTCAACCAAACATATGTAATGTTTAATTCTCTATTTTCACACTACACATAAAACATATGATTGGAATTTCTTCCATTTGTTTTGATTTTCTGTTTATATTTCGTTGTTATTTCGCAACCCATAAAGCACATGTTAATTTTTCAAAATTTAAAATCCATTTTAGCTTATTTTTTATAAAAGCTGGGTTTTTCTAGGCGCGGAGTCGGCCAGCGGAGAGCGGACAGCGGAGAGCGGAATTGAAATTAACATGGCATTCCGCTCCGCTTCTAGGAAAACAGTAACATTAAATTGCCTAAGACAAGCTGAGTCCGCTCTCCGCGTTCCTCTCTCCGCTGGCCGACTACGCGCCTAGGAAAACCCAGCTTAAGGGATTCTGCACATCTACAGGAAAATGTCTTTCCAACAGTATGCGTAGATTTTCCCTTCGTGCACACACACTGAGAAAAAAGGTTTTAAAGAAACATGCTTGCCTATTAATATATAGATAGGCCTAATTACACAGATCAAACATTAGCTTATCTTATCTTAGCTAATATTATAAACTGGAAAATGCTTGGTCAACTAAGCCTTTTATTTAATTGTAGTTTTGTAAAGTACTCCTTTAGCTTAGAACAGTTTTATCAACACATTTTATTAGCCTAATTTATATTACCATTCAATTGTCACATGTATTGACATTTATTGAGTTTTATTGAGACAATGCAATAATTCTGTATATACTAAGCTAAGCTTTGATTCTTCATTATTGAATAATAGGCCTACTTATCATCAAATTAAGATTCAGTGAAACATTTTGTTCTTGTGTGGCCTATTTTCTTACGTTCTTTCCCTCTCACAGGAGCAAGATGTGCTGATTTCTCAGTCCAACCAGATTTTAACAGCCATTATTCACGGCATGCGGTCGTTGGAGCCTAGCAATCATGTTCGACTGGCTGCTACTACTGCGCTATTCAACTCACTGGAGTTTACCCGTGCTAACTTTGACAAAGAGGTAAGTGTACATGTATGAAATGACATGTAGGCCTATGTTGATTTATATTTATTACATTTTTCTAACGGGTGAAACTTAGGTTGCAACATACCTACTTCTGTTTCCATCACACTAGGCCCTACATAGTTGTGTTATCAAAGAAAGTAGTGCATATTAAAAGATTAGTGAGTTAGTGAGACTTGAAAGTTTTTTGTGTTGGGAATTTGTGATTTATAAAGTTTTATATCGAGCTGTGTCCACTTGGCCAGTTACCATAAATGATATGACATTCAAAATTTCAGAGGTTTTAAACTCATTAAACAAATACCCCATTGTAAAGTAGACATCTTTTCTGATGTTAAAATTGTGGTCTGTTTAAACAAAATGTATAATCCTATAGAGCTACAGACCGGAATGTGCTGCGGTAAAATACCGTTTTCTCATCGCACCAACTTTTTTCAGTGCAAAACTAAAAGAATCCATTAAAAATAATATATTCATAACATTTTTTATCTCTATTACCTGCCATTGTATTGATAACCAAAAAAGAAAATGCTTCTTCACTTGTATCACACCTTAATGCTCATTCATGTAGCTTATGTCCTTTTAAAGTTTATGACTTTTTTTTGTAACAAACATGGCTTTAGGGCAGAATTTTAAAGGATTTGGTAGTGGATAGGATCATTGGTTTTACAGCAGGCTTACCTTACTGAAGAAAATACAGATGAACATGCTAAAATAAACAGATAATTTTTTTGTAAAACTCCTTTTTCAGTAGGCCTGTACATATTCTGCTACTGAAAAATGAGTTAGTAGCTCAAAAAATCCTATGGGTTAGGCCTATGTATATCTGTGCATTTTCATGTATTTTCGTCAGTAAGGTAAGCTGCCGTTAGACCTATCAGTACAAAATCCTTGTATGTCCTTAGTTGTCTTGTGTTGAAAAACTTTGATACTTAGCGAGTGACATTGGTTTTAATGTTCAGCCAACATTTATCAATTAATTGTATATTTGGAGACTCAATATTGTGTCTACTTTCTTCACCGGTTATTTACACTGTGTTGTTTTTTTTTTACAGTCGGAGAGGAACTACATCATGGAGGTGGTCTGTGAAGCTACTCAGTCCCCGGACACTCAGATCAAGGTGGCCGCCTTACAATGTCTAGTCAAGATAATGTCTCTGTACTACCACTACATGGAACCTTACATGGGCCCTGCACTCTTCCCTGTAAGTCACAACTTAAACTAAAACAGTTACAATGCATTACTGCATACAGTAGACTCTCAGTAATCCGGCAGATATGGGACCGTGATACTGCCAGATTAGTGAAAAAGCCAGATTACTGGAACGTTATCAATAAAACACTTAAAACACGTCTCCGAAGATTGCGTGATTGGACATATTATTACCGCGATCGGGCATGACAATGATAATGTTTCCGTAATCTTGGGAGTTGTTGACACAGTAGAACCTCTTTAATCCGAACCCCTGTAATCTGAACGTCCACTAATCCGAACACCTCGGTGTACTCTATACACAGTACAGTATTTATATTGTATAGGCTATTTAATGTACAGTTCTGTTTATTCACTGTTTTTACTACTTTATTAAATAAACACTGTATTTTACTTTGTAAAGCATTTTTTAACATTTCCCATAGCAATTACGATCCATTTTAGCCTTGTTTTAGCTATTGTTATGTAAAAACAACAGTATGTTCTGTAATCCGAACTATTCAATAGTCCGAACTACCCCCGGTCACAATTAGTTCGGATTAAAGAGGTTCTACTGTATACTGTAACGTCTAATCGTCCACGGGAGATGTCCATGATTTTGTCGCGATCGCGCATGAGGACGATGACGTTTCCGTGACCGTGAGAGGCGATGATAATGCATAAACGTCCGTGGGAGACGTACATGATTTTGCCGCGATCGAACATGACGACAATGACGTTTCCATGACCGCGAGAGGCGATGATAATGTCTACATGACCGTGGGAGATGTTCATGATTTTACCACGATCGCGCGTGAGGATGATGACGTTTCCGTGACCTTGGGAGATGTCCATGACTTTGCCGCAATTGTGCAAGACGACGATGACATTTCCGTGACCCAGGGTGTCTACCAACCAGGAAATCCGGGAAAACCGGGAATTGTACTTAATTTTTTACTGGCCATGAAATGTACGGGAATTGTCCTTAAATGCCAGACTGTGTCCTTAAATTTTTATGGGCCATAATTTTATCGATCGCTAGTTGGTTAGGAGCACATAAAAGGTTTATTAGATGTTTGTTTACATTTTCATAATTTATAACTAGAGCAATTATGCAATAAAAATCCCATTATCAGTCTCTAACCCATTAATATTTTATCACGACAATCAAATGTCCAAGTCAAGTACTTCCAAGAACTGTTGACTCAGTAGCTTAGCTCATAAAAGTTGTATCACTTATTCCTTTACAACTTCTTTATTTATTACTAGGGTAATTATTATTAGATCCCAGACCTATTTTATCATAGAAATAATAGTTTTATAATGGCTGTTAAATTTCACTTACTTAGTTGTACTTTCGTCTTGTCTTGAAGATTCAATTTGCCGCTGGCCATTGCCTAGGGCCATAAAACTGTTTATGGTTTCATATTGAACATGTAACTACAGTACATGTAACATGTAAACTACAGTCTTATTTTGTAAGTTAACCCCTTTTTATGGATATTTTATCTTTCAATTGACAAAACCACAAGCATTGTTGTTTGCATTAATTTCTTGTCACTACGTAGGCCTACTTGATTTCAAATTATGTCATTGCATTTTCTGTATCTTTGTCTTATATTGTTGGCGGTCAGGTTTAAATTTTTTTTATTTCCCATTTATTTATTGTGTTGTATGCTTTAAGCAATCTAAATCTTATGAACTAGAATGATGCTGCTACCGCGAAAGACGATGATGATGTTTCCGTGACCGCGGGAGTGGATGATAATGTCTACACGGCCGGGGGAGATAATCAGAATTTTGCTGCGATCGCGGAAGACCTCACCCGTCAAAAGAAGCCGGATTACTGAAGTGCCGGAGTGGTGCAGTGCCAGATTAGAGAGGGTCCCACCCTAAATTTTATTTTGGTTTAGGCCTATTTTTTAAGGCCTCAAATAAAAATCTAGTTTTGGTAACATAATATTCTAAATTCTAATAATGATGATGTACAATGTTGTGGTGTTTGAAATTTGTTTGAGGGATTATCGCAACACATTTAGTAAAGTACAAGGTTGCACAATGTTTTGAAATCTAGAATCTGATCTAAAACACATACAAGATTAGTTAACAGACCCAGCTAAAGCTGGGACAAATAACACAGAAAACAGTGTGGTAGTCTAAACAACATGCAAGAAACAAACTCTGAAATAATGCAATAGGTTAGAACTTTTGAAATTACTACTTTGGACATAAAAAATGCTCATCAAAGAAATAGTCTTTGTACGACTTCAAAGTAATGTCGAAAATGTTTGGAACGAAGTATACTTTTATTAATTTACACCGTTTCTTGCAGATAACATTGGAAGCCATGAAGTCGGATGTGGACGAGGTGGCGCTGCAGGGTATAGAGTTCTGGTCCAACGTGAGTGATGAGGAAGTAGACCTAGCTATAGAGGACACTGAGGCCGCAGAGGTAGGCCGTCCGCCACAACGTACCTCCAAGTTCTACGCCAAGGGAGCCCTACAGTACCTGGTGCCGGTGTTGATGACTAAACTAACCAAACAGGTCAGTCACTTAGTTGGGTAAACATAATTGTGGTAAAGGAAAGGAGTCTATAGTGAATCCATCTATGAAAAGTTACTAGGACGTCACAAATGCCACTGATAAGTCGATGATTTTAGTTAAAACATCTTTTTATCTGCCTATATTTTTAACAGTTTATGATTTTGTCCTCTAAAATTTCAAGTGACAGTGGGAAAGCAATATAGCTCATTATTCAATTCACATATTTGTCTAAACAAAACATCTAAATAAATTGTTCAGGATGTTTATACATTTGGTCAAAAATTACATGCTATTCAATTCTTGGTGAATGTAGGGGAGTATAAAATATGTAACAGGGAATTTTTCTAGGCAAAAGATCACTGAAGTCAACGGTTTGTAAGAAAACTGGTTTAAGGCCTGTCAAAATATTTAAATAGTTTGAGTTTTACAGTACAATGCCAGATTTAATTTTGTATGGTTTAACCTGTATTCTGATGCACATTATGATAATTCATTAAGTGGCTTTTAGCAATAAGTAGGTAAAAATTAAACTCCTTTCGGCTCAAGTCTGATCTGTGGTAAAATAATAACAACAGATTTTTTAGGTTTGTACCTCCAAAAAACAATCAACAATTAATTTATTTATTTGATACTACTTAGTAGGCCTACATAATGTAGACCTAGGGCTTATACATTCAATAAAATGGACAGCTGCTTAAGCCCTAGAAGAATGTACTTGTTTGCAGAATGTTTTTTACTGTTCTTTCCACTTCCATTATGTTGAGTCAGCATCATACTTTTGTAACAAATATTTTTAAATTATTTTTTTAAGTATCAAAAACTCTGTAGTACTGTACAAAAATTGGTCACATCATCCATTAAGTTATTTAGATGAATTTTTCTGTTTGATTGGGTGTTAAATTTGAACCTTTGTCCACAGGAAGAGTTTGATGATGAAGATGACTGGAACCCCAGCAAAGCAGCGGGTGTGTGCCTCATGTTGCTAGCCACGTGCTGCGAGGATGCCATTGTTCCTTTTGTCCTGCCCTTTGTCAAAGAAAACATCAAGAGCCCCAACTGGCGGTTTAGAGATGCGGCACTTATGGCTTTTGGTAAGTTTTTGTGTCAAAAGCTACTTTCATTTTTCTATGTTGGCCCAATTGAATGTACAGTATAACCTCTGGATATTACTCGTTGGTCTGGAATGACAGAACTAACAACACATTCTACGTGTAAATTACACTTAGTATTTGATTGCTGTTTTGAGTTTTTGTCTTTCAGTACAATTTCTTTTACAGGTTCTATCCTCGGAGGATTAGAAAATGGAACATTACGGCCTCTAGTAGAGCAAGCCATGCCGACACTGATAGAGCTCATGTACGACTCTAGTGTGGTTGTGAGAGACACAGCCGCATGGACGTTCGGAAGGATTTGTGAGATAATCCCGGAGGCGGCAATAAACGAGAACTACCTGAAACCTCTGCTAGAGTCTCTCGTGAATGGACTGAAGGCGGAGCCGAGAGTAGCAACCAACGTCTGCTGGGCTTTCACTGGACTGGCGGAGGCTGCTTACGAAGCTGTGGAAGGTAATGAGGAGGGAGCACAACCAGAGACATACTGCCTGTCTGAATACTTTGACTTCATCATCGCACGATTGTTGGAGACCACGGATAGGCCTGATGGAGCTCAGGTTTGTTCCCTTACAAATTGTTGATGTTTTGTAAATAGGGTTATGATTTGGATATTTCTTGGGTCAAAAAATATTTCTTTTCCATTCCTTCTACAAATCACAATCATGGCCTATATAGTCTTAATTCCTAAACCAAACCTTATTTATTGCATGTCTGCAGGCCAATCTGAGATCAGCAGCGTATGAAGCACTGATGGAGATGGTGAAGAACTCTCCAGCCGACTGCTATGTGACAGTGCAGCGTACTACCATGGTGATACTGGAGAGGCTCAACCAGGTGTTGCAGATGGAGAACCACATACAGAGCAACACAGACCGAGCGCAATACAACGACTTGCAGAGTCTATTGTGTGCCACTCTACAGGTACGCATACACATCATCGAACCAAACCAGACAATCTAAAAAATCAAACTAAAATTATAATCCCGAATCTTGAATTTTGATACTTAAAAGTAATACATTTTATTTACCTACTTAAGGTTGTGAATAAATACAGGTAATAATTTATGTTTACTCTGCTTTCACAATTTAATGAAATTGGACTCCTGACCCTGACATAAACATGAGTATAAGATAAATTAAAACATGATTTGAGTTCAAACAATATCGATATGAAACCGCATTGTACACAAGTCGTTGTATTAGAAGTTAAAAAAACCTACCTGTTGCAGTTAATAAAACAAATTACTTGTTTCATCAACATTGGTTTTGATTCTTCTTAAAACTCATTGATTGATTCTTAAAACAAAACTTTTTTAAGTTGGTTATGAAATTTGATTATGACATCACCATTCTGAAGCCTATCGATCGTAGTTAACTTTACCTTGCACAATGCAGCTTATGTACTCCACTGGCCTGCTGATGACTTGAACAATATATCAAAAAAGTTTCAACCAAACTAACAATGACGGTTCCATTTGATTGTTCAATTCTTAAATCAATGGTTTTCAAACAAACTTCCTGGCATATTTACCAGGAGCAGTTATAGCTTGAAAAGGTACTAGGCTAGAGATCGCTTAAACAAAATGTTAATAAGTCAAACTGTAATTGTCATTCAGAGCGTACTTCGCAAAGTGACGCCAGACGACGCACCGCAGATTTCTGACGCCATCATGACTGCTCTGCTGCAAATGTTCAACTCAAACACATGCAAGTCAGGGGGTGTTCAGGAAGACGCCATCATGGCTGTGTCTACCCTGGTGGAGGTGCTGGGAGAAGGGTTCCTTAAGTACATGGACGCCTTCAAACCATTCCTGTGTCTGGGTCTGAAGAACCACGCTGAATACCAGGTAAAGACAGCAACTGTTCCTACTCGGAAATCTTTGTTTAAAAAAGATGTGGCCAAATCATTTGTTCTGACAAATGAAGAATAGTGTATGGAAATTAAAATGAATAGATAGGCCTATGTCTTTTTTATTTTCAAAAATTAGAAACAATATTGGAGAGTGATATAGGTCTAATGATCTTTATAAATTAGACTTACGGTATATAGCGTATTTTACACGGATAAAATGTTTTCTTCATACTGCAGGAAAAGCAGTGGTTTTTAACTCATGCCTTAGGGTCCTAAAGTAGCTCCTCTTCTCTCTAAGGAGTAAAACGCTTTTTTAGTCCCTAAGGAGGAAAATTGAGCTGTTAACTGGGTTGTAAATTTCGATTAAAAGCAATGGCATCTATCAAAAGTGTTTTAAATCGATTGTAGCTTATTGTCACATTCTTTTTTTTATAACTCGACATATTGTTAGTAGTAACACAATCGCAATAGACTAAGTGATTGAATCACTTATTAAACAGAATTGTTTGCAATAGCAAATTTGAAAACAATTTCAAGTCGTTTTGAGAGATTCTTTTTCCATAAAAAGTATTATCTTTTTTTAATTTAGTAAATAATGGTACATTATGGCAACAAAAGTACAGCAAATTTGTCTTTTTAACTCTCGCCCATTTTCAACCTCGGCTGTGAAACTTGAACTATGGTCGAAAAGAGTCACTTTACGCCTTTGTTATGAAATATACTAGTACAGTAGACTCCCTCTTAGGGACCGAGGCCAGTCCGGATAACGGTTTTTCCGGTTAAACTGACGTCCCCAAAATCTCCTTAAAACGGACCGTTTACTGTGATATTGTACCTTAATTTATGAGAGCATTGTATTTAGACACGTGATCACTGGTGGTCTCAAATATTTCCCAAGAGAACAGCTGTTTAAGCACCGCCCACTTCCTGCCGATCTAATCCGGTTAAACCAATGAAAATTGTCCGGTTAAAGAGATGTCATTTCCGCCGAGTGTAGTCCGGTTAAACCGATGTCCGGTTAAAAGGTGTCCTGAAAAGAGGGAGTCTACTGTATAGGCCTATACAGTTATACATTTATATTCTCTCCTAACAAACCTACTCATTACCAATACTCGTACTAATATATGGGTACTCATACCTACTCATTGCTTCTTAAATATCAATACAAAAAAAAAAAAAAAAATACAAAAAATCATATAAAGCATATTACAGTAGACTACTTCTTATATGGGCACCTTTTAACCGGACATCGATTTAATCGGACTACACTCGGCACGTTGGTTTAACTGGACTAGATCGGCAGGAAGTGGGCTGTACTGAAACGACTGTTCTCGTGGGAAAGATTTGGGACCAGTGATCACGTGTCTAAATGCACAATGCTCTCCTAAATTTAGGTCCAATATTCGGGTTACATTTAACAAGTTTTTGGGGACGTTGATTTAACCGGAAAACCCGTTATCCTGACTGGCCTGGTCCCGGGGAGTCCGGATAAGAGGGAGTCCACTGTATAGGAATTCATTAAAATCACTAGAGTGAGAATGTCATGTATATTTATTTACAGTACAGTGATTTTTTAGACATCCTGGTTTTCTTTTTTTGGTTAGTTAGTAGGTTGATGATTAATACAAGCTCGAATGTGAAATCTCTTGATGGTTGTTTAGGTGTGCAACTCAGCTGTGGGTTTGACTGGAGACATCTGCAGAGCTTTAAAAAACAAAGCTTTACCTTACTGTGATGAAATAATGACTCTATTGCTGGAAAATCTAGGGGTGAGTAATCAACTATATGTAGTAGCAATTAACTATTATTTCTATTATGCCACAGTTAAAAATTGTGTTTATTGCTACAAGCGTTTAATCAAAAGGATTTTTCCATTAGGTTGCAATTTTCAACTTGCCTGTCAAATTTTTATTTCTGGGTGAGTAAAAATTATTGATTTATTTATTGTGTTCCAGGACAATACAGTGCATAGGTCTGTTAAACCACAGATTCTGTCAGTTTTTGGTGACATCGCCCTCAGTATCGGTCATGAGTTCAAGAAATACCTTGATGTTGTTCTTCAAACTCTAGTACAGGCTTCACAGGCACAAGTTGATAGGGTGAGAAACTAAAAAAAATTATATTTATTTTCTTTATTGATCTTGGCTAGGGGTAATATTCTACCTTAAAAAAAAGTGCTAGAAAAATATTAACAAAACCAATTGATCAGCAAAAGTTTTCATTTTTTGTGGCTAGACATATAATTTTGAGGTTTTTACAAGTTGGGTATACAGTAGAACCTCGATTACAAGACTAATGGCCAATGGGAATTGTTAAATAAGATACGTGTTATCATTGTTGACTTCTCCCGAGGTTTGCAATAACATGTAGTTCCAGGTAAATTAAATTAAATTCTAGGGGATTTAAAAATTACACTTGTTATCAAGGGTGACTTGTTATCGAAGGTCTTCTTTTTACGAGGTTCCACTGTATTTCAATATAATCTGGATTATGCTCCCAAGTTTTAGCTAAAATTAGGGATGGACGGGATTAAATTTTTAGATCAGGACGGGATTATTATTTCCTTCCTGATTTTCGGGACGGGACGGGATTTTTTTCTGTGCATAAAAAGAAAGTCTTTAGTATTGCAGTTACCAAAAAAGACAAACGGAATCAATTTTTACCGTTTGTGGAACTGATCTATAAAAACCAAAAAATGGATAACAATTTACATGTACCTATAGAAACTTGTGACTCGCGGTCGAAATGACTCGTGGGTACGGTGCGATCGTCAAAATGACTGCGGTCACGGCCGGTGATCGTCGGTATGACTTGCGGACACAGAATGATCGTCGGTATGACTCCGCAGTCACAGCGTGATCGTCGGTATGACTCCGCGGTCACGGGGTGATCGTCGGTATGGGGTGATCGTCGGTATGGCTCACGGTCACAGCATGATCGTCGGTATGACTCGCGATCACGGTACGATCGTCTGCATGATTCCGCAATCACGGCACGATCGTCGGCATGACTTCGTGGTCACAGGACGATCGTCGGTAGAACTCCGCGGTCACGAGGTTATCGTCGGTATGACTCGTGATCACAGCATGATCGTCGGTATGACTCCGAGGTCACGGCACGATCGTCGGTATGACTCCGTGGTCACGGCACGATTGTCGGTGGGACTCCGCGGTCACGAGGTGATTGTCGGTATGACTCGTGGTCACGGTCAATTGATCGTTGGTGAGACTCCACGGTCACGGTGCGATCACGGGGTGATCGTCGGTATGACTCTGCGGTCACCGCGCGATCGTTGTTATGACTTCGTCTCCTGCGTTCGCGGACCTATCGTTAACATCTCTCGCAATAGCGACGTCATCGTCACTCGCAAAGCGGCAAAATCGCCGACGATCGGACCAAATCCCGTCCCGAAAAATTCCCGAATAAAATGTAATCCCGTCCCGATAATCGGGAATATTTTTTTCCCGAAAAATTCACGAAATTTCGGGACCCGTTCATCCCTACTAAAAATTCATGTTGGTAGCCAACACATTAATAGTACCAAGTTTGATTGCTGAATCCAAAAATACAAAACTAATAACATCTTAGAAATGAAGCCTTGTTTTTTCGTTTTTTCCAATTGTCAGAAGCTTATACAATTGTCATGTATGTTGGCAGACTGATTTTGACATGTTGGAGTATCTGAATGAGTTGAGGGAAGGTATATTGGAGGCATACACAGGCATTATTCAGGGGTTGAAGGGTGATGGGCCTACGCCTAACCCTGATATTTTGCTGTTGGAGCCCCACGTACCATTCATCATTCAGTTCATCACACTGGTCGCGTGTGACACTGATAAGGCAGATAGCAACGTTGCTGCGTGTGCTGGGCTGATCGGGTCAGTACACTAAACCTTTAGTAAAATGAAGGGATAACATCTAGCTTACCTAAGAATAAATACAGGTAGGCGATAGAACGTATACGTAAGACAATATCTCAATTCCTAGGAGTTTTTCAAGTGTAGGCACAGCTGTTATCTCTTTATTATGAAAATTAAAATCTTGGCCTAGAGCCTTTTCTTGAACGAAACAAACCTAGTTTGTATAACTGTTTGGTCTAATTTTCATCGTTTTCCACAATCACTGGAAATTATGAATATCTTTCACAGTCACAGAACATTATCCTGATTACTGCTCAGTGGTAACAGAAAAATAATCGTCTCCCTTGGTCACAGAAACATTACCATCGTCTTCCGTGATTGCGCAAAACTCTAATCATCTGTGGTCATATGGGCATAATTTTCGTCTTCTGCGATCGTGGCAAAATTCTGATCATCTCTTGGGGTCGTGTGATTAACAAGATTATCTGGGTTTTGAAAATCTCATAGTTCTAAGAATTCTTTTTTGAATTCCGTTAATGGTTTCAGAATTTGAGCAGCTACTCCAAAACTCGATTTCATACAGAATTTTTAAGCAGAATGTAATCAATAACCTAAATTTATATTTTGTAAAATTTATGTATTTGGTTTGGTTTTGTGAGTTTATGCGTGAAAACAGTTGTAAATAAATATAAATTATTATTATCGCTTGTTATTTGACTAGCTCGTCATGTCACATTTTTTGAGTTGCACCCACAGAAAACATACTACTATAACCCAGAATGCCAACCGCATGGTAAAAAGCATTAAGTGTTTTGAGAGAGCTTTGCCTGTCAATTCGTAGGCGGCGCCACCAGCATTGCCATGCACTCGGCATAGCAAAGCTGGTGGTGCTGCCACAAAAAAAAAAAAAAAAAAAAAAACACTTAATGTTTTTTACCATGCGGTTGGCATTCTGGGTTATAGTAGTATGTTTTCCCACAAAGATAGTTTTTCCCTTTTGATCCCCTCAATCTAGTCTGGTTACTTTGCATACCTTGTACCTTTCTAAGTTTGTTGTTATTTTAAATTTAAAATTAATAATGGTTGTTATGTTTTAAACATTTTAGGGACCTCTGCTCTGCATTTGGTTCAAAGCTGTTTGCAATGCTTGACGTTGATCCGGTGAATGAACTGCTGACTCAGGGTAGAAGATCTAGAGTTTCAAAAACCAAGACTTTGGCCACCTGGGCTACCAAGGAAATGAGGAAGCTCAAAGCTGCCACCTCTAGCTGGTTAGTATTACAATACTGCAGAAGAAAATTTGGGCCAAATTGGCCTCCAGGGGACAGGGCAAAGGACTGCAGAAGAAAAATCTTCCTTGGGGGGTAAATTATGGTTGGTGTTGGCACTTAAATCGTTGGTTTGTGTGGAAAAAACATGTTTCGGAATAAATTAGGATGAAGGAACACACCCACAACTAACTTTGCTTAGAAAATAGTTTCACCACTTTTAATGACATCAAATTTCATATTTCATCAGCTTCTTCAGTAGAATATACAGTAAATAATATTTTTCCATGCTACCTGCATTTTGCGTGTTTGTTGTACTTTCATATGGTTGAATTTGAAGACTAACCTTGAGCGTTAAAATCCTGTTTAAGAAGTCAAGTGAGATGAAGTTTTTTGAAGAAACTCCTAACCGATTAAAACATATTAAATAATTCCTTGATCAGCATCATACGTGTTATTAAATTACCTAATTTCTTGTTAAAAAAGCATCGTACGAGTGCCAATCGCCGATTTTGTCTGATGATGATTAGAGTGTCCAATCAAAATCGATCACAACTTACCATCTTATATATATATTTACCGTCTTGTGAGGTATTTACAATATAAGTGTAAATGTATTACTACAAATGATATTTGACGTATTTTTGTTCTATCAGTTAAAATGTATCATCAGATTGTGATGTGTAAAAAAAGGAATAAGAAGTGAAAACCGAGTGAAATAGTCTTCCCTATGTCTTGCAAAATGCATTGGTTATTTCAAGCGATTTTCTATTATTAAGCTCAATTTGAAAACTTAATCTATAAAACCTTTATTGCAAAAAGCGATCTTAAATTTTTAATTTTATTATTAATTATTTTCATGTCTTGGATCTTTATTCTCTCCATGTAAAGCATAGTAGCTATTTCCTCTATGATCAAGACTTTTTTGAACTTGATAAACAAACAAAAAATATTCTTAAGCCAAATAATTTCCTATGAAAATAACAACTTTTCCTCATAAAGTTGTAAACAAGGCAAACTAGTAGAAGACTTTAATATTTAAAGATGTAGATTTATCCATTTTCTTTACTTAACTGACCTAGTACAAGATATACACATTCCAGTTAAAAACACACACCACTCCATTATGGGAAAGGCTTGTTCACAGACTTTTTGTACTTTGTTTAATCTTTCCCACCACTCAATAGAGCCAGCAGTCTACTGTACAAAGAACCCCTAAGAACAAAACCCTTATTTGTTAAACTTAATACTATTTAACTGGGTATAAAAATGTTTTGCTCGGAAAATGCTACGAATTGATTTACTAAATATCAACAACTTGTTTACAATAGTTTAAACATTCAAGTTTTAGCCTACAAAAACTAATAAATAAAAAAAGAACTTTAACAAAAACAGTCAGAACAAGTTTTCCAAGAGGACTGTGTCTATATTTTCAATTATTCCATTCTGGTTTACATTCAGTACCTTAAGGTTTCGATCTGTAACTCATTGTGTCATAAGATTGGTTAAACAGGGTTGGTACGGTCAGGGAAAACCTGGAAAACCTGGAAATGTCAGGGAATTTTGTTGGTCTGGAAAAGTCAGGGAAAAGTCAGGGAATTTTGGAAAAAATCTGGAATTTCTCTTGAAAGACTACATTTTTTACAGATATGCTACATTTTGCATCTACTTCTCAATACTTGGTCAAAAACATCGAAGTTTGACGAAAACATCGATGTAACAAAAACATCTGAAACCTACCATCGATATAAAAAACATCGAACATCGACAGACATTCTATCATCACCCTCTGATTACTGGCTTAATTGAACGCACCGAGCTCCCAGTGTTTCTACACGACCAAAAGAATATAATCCCGGTCACTTGGTTAAGAAATCCCGTTTAATCCCTTAAGATTTTTGATGTTAAATTCTGTGTTGAATTGGACATATTTCGTTTAAATAGTTGTTTTAACATTGCTATTATATTTTGTTAAGGTAATTTTTTCGATTGGGGTTAGTTTTTCACTAAAATAAAAGCATAGTAAATAAAAACGGACGTCATAGCCAAAACTCCTGTTTTATCCCACATCCCCTTCAAATCCCGCTCATGCTCTAAAAATCCTGTTTTCGGGATCTTATCTTATCTGACAGGGGCAGGTCTTTAAGAGACCTTTAAGCACTTCATCCGAAATCGAATTATTTGGGGTGCGCAATAATTGCTTTCTTGTTGACCTACAAGTTAAGGCGCCCAATGAATGCCTGTAGCTTCCCAATTAGTTCATCCTCAGGAAGGTATCTACCTCTAGCCATATTTCCAAGAGTTATCGATCTAGCGTCAAAGAGCTCGTTACAATCAAAGAGTAAGTGATCAGCTGTCTCTTCTGACCTATCACAGTACCTACAGATCGGTTCACCATCATATAAGCCCATCCGTTGTAGATGTTTCCTGAATCTTCCATGACCAGTTATCAGTTCAACAATTAATTTAATTCTTCGTCTGTCTAGTCTCAAGAGGTCACAGGCAACCTTTTTAGAAGGCCTAAACAGAGTAAGCTGGCTGACCCTAAGAAGGGGAACATCGACCCAGCGTTTGCGATGCTTTTCCTTGGCCCATGACGCAATCGCAGAACATGCACTGTTTCGTGAGATGCCACAGAAGGGTTGTGGGCCTATCATTGAAGTCGCAGAGGCAGTATTTGCCAATCTGTCTGCAGCTTCATTTCCTTTAATGCCTGAGTGTCCTGGCACCCAGCAAAGCGTAAGGTCATTTCTCCTACCCAACTCAGACACAGAAGCAAGACAATCCCACACGAGCCTGGAGTTGAATTCGTAAGAGTTTAATGCTTTTAAGGTCGCTTGACTATCAGTATAGATATTGATTGTTTTGTCTCTGATATCTTTGTTAAGATGTTCTTGAGCACAAACTAGAATGGCAGTGACTTCCGCTTGAAAGACAGTTGGGTACACCCCCATTGGAAGACAAATGCCAGTGCCTCCATTCATCCAATGCACACCTGCTCCAGTGCCCCCATTTTTGATCTTAGAACCATCAGTATAGCATTCTAAATCACCTGTGGGTATGGGTCCTTTTCCGCCAGACCAATCCTTCCTATCTGGTATTAGTACTTTGAAAGGCTTTCCAAAGGAGTATTTTTTGGACATGTGATCTGAAGGCAAGTGCAATTCATCATTATGTACCACCTGAACAATTTTGGAGTGCCCTTTATTGTTTCCTGAGGTTATCCATAAGTATTCGCATCTAAGGCGTTGGGCTGTTTTACTTGCTACCACCTTGATGTAAATGTCGACAGGTAGCATATCAAGCAGACAGTCAAGAGCCGCTCCAGGACAGCTGCTTACTGCCCCAGTTATCATTATAAGAGCAAGCCTCTGAACTCCTGCTAAAGCTTTGACAGCTATAGTAGATTCCATCTTTGGCCACCACACAAGCGAACCATATGTAAGGGCGGGTCGAACAACAGATACATACAGCCAGTGCATAAAAGTTTAGGCTGTAACCCCCATGTGCCACTTACTCTGCCTGCATGCCATAAGGGACCATTTGCCACGCTCAGTGACTTTTTGAAGATGTGGTCCCCAGTGAAGTGATCTGTCCAAAATTACACAAAGATACTTCACCTGATTCTGCAGCTCTATTACAGTGCCCTGCAGTCTTAGTGGGCCGATCCCATCCAGTTTCCTCCTTCTTGTGAAGGGTACTATTACAACTTTCCTGGGATTTATAGAGAGCCCATCTTCCTGGTACCAACGGTCCACTACCCTTAAAGCTCTATTCATAAGGTCAGTTATGGTTCCGTGGAACTTTCCAACCACAAGGATTGCAACATCATCAGCATAACCTAAGGCGAAAACCCCACTTTTGTTGAGTGTCCTTATAAGGTCGTCTGCTACCAAATTCCAAAGGAGAGGAGAGAGAACCCCCCCCCCCTGAGGGCATCCTCGAGTAGTTCTTGCCTCGATCGTGTCATTATGGAGTGAGAGCCTAACCTTCCTACTGTGAAGCAAGGATTCAATCCATCTACATATTATACCGTGAAAACCTCTTCCTCTCACCGCATTAAGAATTGCTGGAGTACCAGTATTATCAAAAGCACCTTGAATATCGAGAAAGGCACCCAGGGCCACTTCACTGCTCTCTAGAGCTTTCTCAATCTTGCTTACAAGTTGGTGCAACACAGTCTCGCATGATCTTCCTGAGACATACGCATGCTGATTATTATGAAAAGGATGTGTCCTAAGAGCTGTATCCATCATATATCTTGAGACCAACTTTTCTAGGATCTTAAGGAAGAAAGAAGATAGAGAAATGGGTCTAAATGACTTAGGATCAGTGTAACTATCCCTTCCTGGTTTAGGAATAAATGCGATACGTGAATTACACCACCCTAAGGGAATGTGTCCTAAGGCTAAGCTGGCTCTGAAAAGTTTTCGGGATAAGTTAATAATCCTACGTATGGAAACACTGCTATAACCGGGATGCGCGGAAGGATAGGCCAACATTCATCGTTTCAATTTCAATACGATACTGAATACAATTCCTCATTGAATTTATAAAAAGAGAAAAGAATTTATTTATAAAAATAAATGCATCTGCCTTAAAAAATAAGGTTGCCAATGACACAGAAAAAATTATACAAGATAAAATTGTATAAGACTGATTAATTTTGATGTTTGCCATATAGATGATTTCTCATTATGCTCAATGAACCTCTTAATGTTTCATGAGTAATAATTTTCAAAAAGGATCTGTCCAAATCATATTGTTTCCAAAAGTTCACAAAAAATTTTGATAATGTTCCTCTTGAACCAATAAACAATCCAATCACCTCAACTTTCCAAATTTTAAAATTTTGCTTGAAATATTCAAAGGTAGGATCATATTTTTTTTTCTTTTCTTCATTTACTTCGTTAGGTTGATTTATGTTTATTTCAAATCGAATTGTTGAATCGAGAATTATGCCTTTGTTAGTTTCTCTTTCTATCAATAAAATATTTACTCTTCTGGTGCTTCCTTTAGAAGAAAGACAGTGTACTTCTTCTTGCACGTCCCATGTGTTATACCTTTTTCGGAAGGCATTTGCTATGATACTTCTTATTTTGTGATGCCTAGTGATTCTTAAAAGTTCACCAAACGGACAGAAGCCAAGGGCATGTGCAAGGGTTTCAATCTCACCACAGGCATGCCTGCAGCGGTTATTGCCCTGACTTCTGCTGTGGAGAACACGCACTGGCACCACATTTGCAATCATTTTTATACTGTCTTTCCACTCAGATTCTGACAAGCCTTCTTTATTAATAATACTTTTATTTCCCGGAGTATAGTCTTTGAAAAGTTCAACACCTTTACCCTTTCAATACTGATTCAACCTTTAATAAACTAAAAAAAACTGCACTTGTAGGAGTTTATAAAAAAAATGTTATCCTGTTAGTTGAAACATTTAATAGTTTAGTTTGGTATTACTTTTTGTCTCCGGTACAAGCATGGTAGTTATTTTTCCTATATCACATGTTTCTTCCGATATAAGCCGATGATATCGCAAGCAAAATATCGATATATATATCAGTATCAGAAGCACCGTATCGTCTATCTGCTAGTGTCAAGTCAAGGCCAAGTAGAACATAAAGTGTGAGGTTAAGTTAGTTGGTACTCTTAATTTTCCAGATTCCAGATGTTTAATTCTTTTCTTATTGGTTTTATGAGTAAACTATTTAGGCCTACATTTTTTCTAATAATTCTCAATTCTGACTATTCGATATTTTGACTGATATTATACTTGACTGATATTAGACTGATATTATACTTTTTCCTGGAAAAAGTATAATATCAGTCTGGAAAACCTGGAAAAGTCAGGGAATTTCATTTTCCAAAATCAGTACCAACCCTGTTAAAGATTAGATCAGATAACTTCTTGTATACCTTCTACACTCATTACTAGGAATTATCCGAGTTTGATTCTTGATTCTTCAATTCCATGGATTATGACCAATACAATATTATGACTGTTCCATCCCAAAATCTCCTGTGAAGGAAAATTGTGATCTTTCATGTTTGTGATAATATTCTGCATGTGATCACTTCCAAGTTCAAACCAATCTCTGAGATGGCAGAAAATTGTGATAATCTCACGCAAACACAGTGCCGTTTTAAGGTTTAGATCGATTGGCGTAAAAAAAGCCAAAACTAGGGGGCTGCAATAAAATCCAGGAATAAAGATAAATAGTCTTAAATTTTTTTATTTGAATAAAAATTGATACTCTTGCAGATTCAGTTATAGCTTAGGTGAATAGAGAATCTATTATTATGATTGTTATGAATAAATACTACGCGCTAAACTTTTAAAATGTTGAAGGACTGCAAATAATTTATGAATCTTTCTTAGTTAGTGTTAAACTGCTACATTTTTTTATTTACTTTTCATCTTCTGGAATCAGAATCAAATCTTGAATCGAGGATCACAAGTCAACATTTTACGAGGGTTGTCTGTAAATTAAAGTCTCCTGTCGTGTCCAATTGAGTTGGATCAAATCTGAGACAAGTTCTTAATTCATGCACTACTGTTCTAAGTGAATCTCACCCATATTAGTCTCATCAAAGTAGGTGATAATGTTGTGTAGAAAAATTTACGCTCCTGCCAAATATGAATTTGATGAAGAATGGGGGTCAACCTCGTCTGAAATATGTTGCCTTCAAAAGTTAAAATATGTGGCGTAAAAAGTTGTCAGATGGCTGTACACATTTGTAAAATTGGACTGACTGCGGGTGTTGATCAGATTTCATTGAGGCAAGTTTATGAATGATTGCTTACTGGTTGGCAAGACTACTAGGATTTACCATTGTTCTTCCTTGGTAGTTTTATACAGACCACCTCTGTCACTTTGGTAATCGTCTGAAATATGTTGCCTTAAAAAGTTAAAATATGTTCAGTCACACTGCAATCGGCATGCAAAATTCCCTCAATCTAGGTCACTGCCTCCAACTATACTGATGAAATACGACAACCTGCGAGCTCCCTTCATATTTTTTAACGTCCAAACGCTTTCCTCATATACGTCTATCAATTATTGGGGCTGTTCGATCAATTGGACTTCAATAGTGGTTAACACCTTTAACCATAGAACATGATTGATACTTGGCGGGAGCACAGATTTTCCTTCACTTCCTTTTAGATACTATGACTAGACTATATAGTTCCATATTGGTAGGATTGATCTAGAATGGTTGTGGATGAAGTAAAGTACCACAACGGTGATCTCAGATTAGAGCTAGCCCAATCAGCTGTTACAGGAGCTCAATTATGGAGACCTTAATTTACGGACAGCCCTTGTAGTATCTCACTAATAGGTCAGTGGTTGTTTTGATGATGGTGTTGTTGTGTCACTAGTGCGAGACCATTGAATTTGAGCGTGCAGGGTCCCTGAGATGAAAGTCCGATGCGTTGTAGAGTGACTGGGGTTTCACCTTCTCCAATGTATGTCCTTGTCTGTTAATTCAATCTTACTTCTAGTTTTGCATGACGTTTGCACCTTGGAATGTTTCAAGTGGAGTACAGTCTTTTTACAAGGTTTTTACATACTTTTTATATAGGTAGGCCTAAATATTTTTGGAACACTTCCTGTTATTAATACATTATATGGTAAACATTTGACAAATTTATCAATTAAGTTAAAGCACAATTCCCTGCTTTCGTTTACTGCAGGTTGTTAACGCATAGTTATGAGTAGCTAATGTATTGTTGCACGCACAACTTTATTTTCCTGGTTTCTGTTGTAGACTAGGTCCTAGCGAAGTTGAGGCTGAAGAGAGTCAAAGACTGAACCACAAAAATATTTCCGTTTGCAATGTGCATATTTTTCACTAAATTTATATTGTATATCTGTACATTATTTGTAAATTATAATATCTGTAAAATCTTTTGATTGTGTTTTAGTAATTTTAAAATAAATTGTTAATCAAAAGTTGTACATGATTGTAATATAGTTAAAATTAAAATTTCTAGGTTTTAATTGTGCAATCGTAATATTGTTTTATCATAAATATCTCATTCTACTCATGAGTGATTCCGAGTATAAGATCATAAATCTGTTTCTGGATATATTAAACTTTTTAAACTACAGATTGTGTACAATGTAAATAAGGTTTAGAATTCCTTGTAACAAGAGATAATCTTATTTTTAGTTAATTTTAAATTCAATATACACATAACAGTTAGTTTTGGACCATCAGTCCATTGTAAAATAATAAAATATACCTATTAATAATTACAAAGAATCTCTATGTTTTTATGTTTTATTATTTTGTTGGTTATACATTTAAAATATGCTAACTAGGCTTGAACAGCAAAAATTGATTGTATTATTTATTCTGTTTAAAAATAAAGTCTTTTTGTTCAAAGTCTATTGCAATTTAACTAGCTCTGATTAAAGCTATTGTAGAGCTATTGTTTTATAAAATGAAACATGAATAATTGTTTTACTTTTTGCAAAAGGCTTTTTCACTTTTTTTTAATTTGTAGAGCTGTTTAATACAATGGCTAGCTGAAAGAACAACACTTAAATTCTTTTAACTTGGTGCTTGATTGTTGAATTTTTTCCTGGCAATTAGAAGCACTTAAATCATAGTTACTACCAAGTACACACGAGTTGTTAACAATGAACAAGGGACAATAACTAATTATGACTTTTCAACCTCATTTTATAATTGTTGTATAGTTTGGGACAGTCTAAAGCAACAAACTCGACAATCATTTAACAAATATTAATTTATATAATAATATAACATAAACTATTAAGATAAATATAAAACATTTCATTCAGATAAATCAAAGTTTTTAATTGAAGTTTTGAATGATTTGATTGAGTTTTTTTTTTTTTTTTTTTTTTTTTTTTTTGTTTGAGTTGAGTTTAACTATGAAAAGCAAATTGTTTGAAAGTACAACAAGTAGTGTTTGAAAGCGGTTTTGGACAACTACTTCAAGTTACTTAATAATACTAAACAAATTAGAGCAAAGCAAAGTACTTTCCTATTTTTTTTAGAGCCAACCAATTATGAGCTGTGATATCAGAAGACCAAATTGCAGGTCCAACATTTACATAAACCCAAACCAAAGCTCCTTATTGTACAATGTACATGGTTATTTTTTTATTCAGTGTTCCAGTGACTATTTTTTTTATTTTCACTATTTAACTAAACTGATGATCTATGTTGTACAAATATATAACTTGGGTGATATTGAGGAGAAAGTTGAGTAACTTAGGCTGTGAATGTACCTTTGTTGCAGAGAATCTTACAAAATATTAACAATATTGTGAGATTTTAGCGATTGCAGTATGACTGGTGGAAGGAGCGTGGTTGAAACGAGGTGAAAATGATACAGTTGATGACTGAATGGGAAAAGTTGCCACTGCTTATAAAAATGCTGTCTGATTCATATTTTTGAATCCTTTCTATTTCAAATTGATTTTAAAAATAAAAAGATAAATTTCCAGCTTTTGTACTGTTAAAATATCACGTTGCATTCTCAATAATCAAAACAAGTGGGGAAAATAGCATTATTAAAGAGCTCTTACAATTTTTTGATTATTTTACAAAATCACATACAGTCAAAAGAAAAAAATACCAAAATATCTGTGTTAGCTAAATTTGTAGAATTTTTATCTTAAAGAAGTTTTCCCTCTTTGCAGATCCAACCTAGAATGTAGAAACGGACCGACTGTCGTTGTATTCCTACTTTTTGGTTGTCTTCTGCATAAAAACCCCACACAACTCTGGTTGGAGCAGGCAGCAGTTTCCGACCAGTGAAGTGCAAGTGAAGTGTGAAGTGACGACAGTGTTGTGCGTACGAACGTATGCGTGTGATAAGAGGGGCGGACTCCCTATCCTTGTTTATATCTTCAGGAAAATTAATTCGGTCAGCTCTGTATCCGGCAAAACGTCTAACATATCCAGTGTTACAATTGGTTACTGAGAGATGACGATGCATTCCGACTACAACAGGTGCTTCACTCTTCTGATAAAAAACATTTGTTACATTCGACTGAAGTGCCTTGGTTTATAGCTCAGGTTAATTTGTTGCTTCCTCAACCAAAGATTTTCGCACGTCGTTTAGTGTGAATTTAATTTTTAAGTAGGATTGTCCAAATTAGACTGTTTAGTTTAAAGCAATAATCAAAGTTGTTTTGACTGCAATCGCGACCTAGTCTTTAGAAGACTTCTTAACTCAGTCATGTCTATTGTAGTTTGTTTCCTTATTAAAATTGTTCCATGTTTTAACCTCGTTTTGAACCATTTCTATTGTAAATGTTATTACTTGTCGAATTTAAATTCATTTCCGTAGCAGGTTTATTGTCTAAATATACTTAAGCCACTTATTTTATTCGGAGGTAAATAAGCTAAACGACTTAAACACTAGGTTATCTTATTTAATAAATTTTGACAAATGCCACAAATGTTACTGTGATTGATAGGTTAGTATAAAGTTCTTACGCGGACTCATTGTATTCCTTTTAGTCATTGCCGGTACAAAAATGTTTCCCGTTGCGTTTATATTTGTCCTTACCATTTGGTTAATGAACGAATTTTTAATTTTATACTTTTTGAAATTTTAATATGTTTTGTACTTTTATTTATATACGATTGGACTAATCATATGTATATTAAGAATCAATTTAGGACGGTTATATTTTGATAAACCGATAAGACTAACTTAGAATGCGTTAGGTAATTAGTAATAGGTTAAGCTGACCTGAGCTACCATTAAAATTACACTGTGATCGGCGATCCATCGCCCGAATACTTGATTTATTCCTGATAGTGTGATAATGCGTCCCTCGTATGTGTGTAGTCTATGCCAGCCGAAGTGTGTTCTAAACACTTCCAAAGGTATGGAAGTTATAATTGCATTGTATCAATGATGTTTGTAAGTACGTATGTCTGTTATTGTTGACCATTGTGAGTGTGTATGAGTGAGTGAATGAGTGAGCGAGTCCAGTGCCATGACAGTTCAGCTGGTCATATCCGTATCCGGTGGCGACCCAATCCCGTAGCTCCCTGCTCTAGCTTGCTTTCGTCCCCACCAAAAGGTAATCGTTTAAGTTTCATTCCCTCGTCTATTAAGTATGTTTTTGAATTTTATTGTTTAAAAAGACCTTTACTTTGTTAAAATCTAGCAAAATTATTTTTAAATGAAACAAAACTGTTTGTGTTAAAAAAATACATAGTTGTATGGAAATAAAGATGCAGAATCTACAAAGTATGGTGTGTAGTTATTTACTCCCTGTGTGCCTGTATGGTGTCAAGAGCTGAGATATATATTGATCAAAGGGCACAAAATATAATAAAGCGTATAAATTATCACAAGCTATTAAAATATGAATTACAATAACAAATTATAAAAATACCCATGACATACTCAGTGGCGTGCCCAGGATTTTGTCCTAGGGGGGGGGGGGGCTAGGGCCTTTCCTGGGTGCCAAGCGGGTTACCGGTTTCCCTGGGAATATTTTGGTAAATCCCTGTTTAATATTGCTGATTTAGGCTATCTACAAAAACAAAAAAGTGCTAAATATCATACTATTTGTATTTTTATTTTAGGAATTTTATATTAAAAAATGTTTATCCCTGGGGGGGAGGGTCCGGTGCCGCCCGTCCCCCCCGGTAGGCACGCCCCTGGACATACTGCTATGACTTTAGTACGCCTATCCTAGGCTAATTACCGTAAGAATAAATGTTGCTGAAGCATTGCCTTTTTTTTGTTTTTGTTTTTGCCAATTAAGTTGTGAATCAGTGAGTATCAATTCCTAGGTAGTTAAATTACTTTGTAAATTAATTGAAATTGAATTTGTATATAGAATGATTTCTCCATTCACATTGGATGCCAGAAACTAAAATAGTTTTTAGTTTTTACCACACTTATGGTAAAGGCTTTTTATTACATGTCCTCAAGAAGTTGAAATTTCTTAGTCAACGAGGCTTGTTAGAGAGGCACCTAACAAAAGTTGTTCATATGAATAGCATGGATAATTAACATATATAAATATATAAGGGCCAAGAATGGAGTCCTGAGCAACAAATAACTATAATCACTTTTTACAATATACTACAGACTTATTTGTTCCAAGTTACGTTACAACAATACAATTGATTTGAACCCATGGTAATTTTATACATTTAAAAACGATCTTGTGAATATACAGAGTGATTGATACAAGTGTGCCAGCTGTTTTATTCAAAAACTATAAGAGATATCAAAAAAAGTTCAATGCTAAGTGCCTTGGATTTTTATTTTGAAAACTAGCTGGCCCGACAGACGTCGTCCTGTCCTAATATGGTTTTATGTCAATGCTCGTTCATTTTCAAGATGAGCTCGTTTGCATTGCTCAATCACGTCCTGGTTGAAGTTCGTTTGCTACGCTTACTCACCTTTAGGTTGGAGCTCGATCGCTGCGCTCACTTACCTTCAGGTTAGCTCATTCGCTACACTCACTCGCGTTTTGGTTGCAAATTAGCTGTTGTCATAAATAAAAAAAAAATAATAGTGCTGCACCCTGTTGGTAAACCTATTAACTTTTTAATGCTATTGAATATCACAGAATCAAATTGTGGTTGAACCAGCTGTTAAGATTCTTTAATTCCATTTCAATATGAGTACTCATAAGGTTAACATGGGAAACTCCAGAGCCACTGGGGCGGAGCCCTTTTGACGGATTTGTACCAAACTTCACACAAACCATCCTTGAATAATGCTTAATAATGCCTGAAAGTTTAATTACAATCTGTCGAACGGTTTCGGAGTCCATAAAGGACAATCAAACAAGCAAACATTACATAGATTTTAGTCAAGTCAAAAAAAATATTTTAGCCGCCATTTTTCCAATATGGCCGCCAACGTTGATTTTTATTATGGAATTTATTTTATGATGTATTTTATGATGTATTCCGGTAGAAAATGTAATTTTTAGACAATTTTACTCCTCTGTTTTTTTTTCATAAACCTAACTGTTTCAAAGATAATAATGGTTAAAGTTGTGACATTTCAAATATTTTTTGAGTAAAACAGCTGGCATGCTTGCTTAGACCTTTATCGAAACTCTTTCTCATGCCGAAATTTATAAACTTTAACCATTATTATCTTTGAAACAGGGTGTTCCATAAGAAAAATCAAAGTTGGCGGCCATATTGGAAAAAAGGCGGCTAAAATACTTTTTTTGACGACTACAATTTTTAAAATAAAAAATCTAAGGCACTTGCCACTTAACTTATTTTGATATCTCTTAAAGTTTTTGAATAAAACAGCTTGTACACTTATATCAATCACCCTGTATAAGCTCTTCGTGTTTTTCATTCATTTTAAAACTATTGGCTGTAAGTAAACCATAGTGGAAGGAAGGGGAGAGTAAGTAGGGGATGTTGATGTTGAAAGGCTTCCTCGGCAGTCAGCCCGGGAATGACCAGCAAAGAGGAACCTCAGCTACACATTCGCAAACAACAACAACATGTGAGCTCTGTACCATCTAGCTAGCATTAGTACTACTGATGTGAAAAGTTCTGCAAATTAACACAATCTTACAATATCCCAAGTTTGTCCCTTGTACTTGTTAAATTTTTAATAAAAGGTCCTCCATTAAACATGCTTGGGTGTGACATTTTGTCTGAAAATTTTTTTTAAATGGTCCGTGTTATAGTTTGAAAATACCACTATTCTACGATTTTGTATTTTAGTTAAGAAATTCAATAAAAGATTTACAGCATTTTGTATATAAAAAATTAGGAATATTAACAAAGCAGTCTATATTGTTTTCGGCAACACGCTATATTTGAGAAATATTGTGGTATCCATACTAATGCCTAGCTCTTGTACGGCACAGATAAATATGTATAAAAATGCTAACCTTTTTGATGGCAAGTCCATACTTCTCAAGACAAATTATGATCTGGATCAAGGATACTCTAGCAATAAAACGACAAACCAATCAACTGCGAAATAGTTCAATACATTTAACAGCATCAACAGTTAACTGCCAAAATTCACACCGATGTGAATATGTGCAGAACTCTCATTTAATTTCAAAAATGTATTTTGGCTCCTTTAACCTCTACAAAAATGTATTGTCATGTGAATATAACTTGTTGTGAGAGTAATTGATAGACACAAAACTATGTTGTGTTGCGGAACTTAAAAACTGATTTTCTTTGCCCCAATAATTTATTTAAAGCCCAATAATCAAGAACAGATGTGCAGATGATATTAACCAGAAATCCATCGAAGTTTGTTGTCTTTGGTGCATGCTCTTTACTTAATACACCTTGAACTGGGTTCCTTATCAAATCCTCAAAAGCTTACCTATTTAATATCAAAGCATCACCTCTTGACCACTGGTAGTTTTTAAATGTTTTCTATTTTTAAAATTTTTTATAATGTTTTTTTGTTTTATAATTTTTTTAAATGTTGTTTTTAAATGTTTACAGAACCTCTTTGAACACTATGTTTCAAGTAATTATATGGCCATGTACGATTTTTGTGTAGATGGCTTTGATTGTTTTTAGTTTTCACTGAAAAAAACGCACCCTTGACAAAGACACATAAAATGTAAACAATTGGGTCTAGCACGTGCAAGTGCAATCCTTCCTTCGTTAGCGTCTGCCCATATACCTTAAAGTCATGGCAAAGGTAACTTGTAAGGGAAATTTCTTCTTAGTCAGATTGAAAGGATTTCAGACTATTGCGTAGTTAATGACAGTTTGACCGGAGTCATCCAACTTCGCTTTGATAGTGTAGGTGACCAAGTGAGCTACAACCCATCTTTGACCCTGCTTAGGTTTCTCATCAACATGAATAGAGTTCTTTTTAGGATGGTTTATGGTTTATGAGGTGACGAATCTTAAGGGCTTAATGAGTTAAAAAGCTCTAATGGATACAACAGAGCTTTTTACGTCCCTTGGTAAAGAACAGAATCAAAACTGATATAAACCGTTTCCTATCGAAAACAAACTCGACACAACATAACCATTCATTGAAATCTGTAGTAAAGAAAAGATAAGAGGTGATGTTTGAAGATGAAATTCCTAAATATATACATAGAATGGTCGGTAGGTACCGTATGTCAAAATGAAGGCTATGTCGTAAATAAAGAAATATAAAATCCAAATAATCCATGTGGTACTTTTGAGTTGGTCGTGTTTTAGACTCCTTTGTTTAAAGTGAATAATCTTTTTTTATCTCTGGGGTTATTTATTGTAGAAAGCACAGACTAAGTTTGTTTGTCATCATAGATTTATTTATTTATTTATTTTTTATTTCCTCTGGAAAGACACCAAAATAAGTACAAATAAATGTAATAATTCCTTACCAATTGAAGTATGGGTTCTACATATTTTATATCACCTTGAAGTCCTACCAAGCTTTTACCTTGAGTTGAATCCAGGATGGCATGGACTTGGACGATTTGTTGCCCCAAGTGGGAGAGTTTGGCAGATACCAGAAGCTGCTGGTCTGGCTGGTGTGTCTACCAGCTTGTGTACCGTGTGGTTTCTGCGCTTTCAACCAGCTGTTCATGGCAGACACTCCCGACCACTGGTGTCTGGTGCCCGAGTTGATGGAATATGATGTTCAACTGAGGAAACAACTCGCCATCCCAATCACTGTAAGTCTACGTGCTACGTGTATTGTAGGTATTTGTCTTTTCTTGTTTTTTAGAGGTTGGAATCTATTAACGTTTAGGGACGTTGCGAAACCACAAATTCTTTTGTGCTTGGTATTGATATTGTATCGGAATTGCAGTTGTGACCACTAAAATATCGCAACCAAATTATCGATAGCCCAAGTATCGAATTAGTACAGTCGGGGGGGCTTCCAGGGGGTTTCCCAAGGGAGGTCCAGGGGTACTCCCTCGGAAATTTTTTTTAAGCCTTGTGGTGGCTTTGTTAAGCAATTTTAACGTCTAGAACTGTGTCCTAAAACTTCCGTTAAGTTTTTAGGACGAAATATATGTTCAAACTAATTTTTCCAGTGTCCAATAATTGAGGGGGGGGGGCTTTAGCTCCTATAGCCCCCCTTGGGACCCCCACTGAGTACAGCATAACTCTTTATAGTGTAGTGTAGGTAGATATACTGTACAATCGACATACTTTATATACTCTAAATTAGTAGACAGTATGTTTAATACCATACTATGCTATCTAGCAAAAAGGTTGACATTAAGATAGTAAGAACAGTGTTTGGGCCATTCCCTTACAAAAACATTAAAAATGATGTTATTGATAGGTAGTTAAAAATTATCTTAAATATTCATATTCTTTTTACAGTGTTTTCTTAGGTTTGATGTCTTTTAAGCTATGTATGAATATATTTTTTAAGGGAAAAGGGTATTTCATTATTTGTTTTGCTTTGAAGACATGTTTTAAACCCTTTCAAAATGAGTGTTTTGTAAAAGGCCCCCTCATATGAATATAAAAACAATAAACTCTATTATTTCAGTCAATTAACCAAATAAAATGATATAATCGTAAACAATAACGCATCTTCTAGTTATAAAACAAAACAGTAAAGCACTAAAATCATGAAATTAACTCAAAAATAATAGAAACAAAATTTTGTCCAATCAGTTGTTTTGTAGCAATCAGTGTTACCGGACATGAATTAGACACGAAAAACGAGCTTCAAAATGTACAATGGGATGGGAAGTCTACTTGTGTTGGTTAGTCTATGCAAGTATTGTATGCTAAACAATAACTTTACACGATACCAGAAAACCTAGACTACCATAACTTCAATCGTTCTATTTGACACAATAACAATGTTCAATATTAGATTTTATTCCAACCTTTTGAGAACCCTATTCTAAAAACAAATTGCTAACCACAATTTCCTTTTTTGAAATGTGTCAGGATTAAAATAAATGCTAGATCAACAGTCCGGACAGCTGACATATCCAATGTCAGGTGTTTATCAGAGACCAGCGACCCCGAGAAACCTTACCTGACTGTAATCCCATTATGTCTTTCAATAATCTCGTTCACCTACCCTTGTATTATGCAAACGCAGCAATTAAATGTTAAATCAAAAAAATAACTTTATGGTTTTTCATCATTGGATGCTATATAAAATTTATACCGTAGAAACAAAGACAATGAAATAAATAATAGAAAATAATATGTCACTATAGTGTGGTAGCTTTGTAAAAAGATCACATACTTCTTTATAAAAGCTATTGATTTTGATTGGTTATTCTGTGTCCTACCGTCAATGAGTTTATAAAGAGTTGCATGATTTTTAGGCAAATTCAGCCGAATTCCCTAATGTTCTTAAATATCCCTAAATATGTTCCTTGACTTACAATTTACTGTGGCAATGTTGAGCGCGACTATTTTGACAAAATACCGTTTTTATTAAGAAATTGAAGCTGAATTAAATATATCATAGCAATACCAGAAAATCGAGGTTACCATTCCACGAAACTACCAATGTCAAAATTGTATAATTTTAAAAACATAAAAACTATAATTAATTGTGACTTAACTTCATGGGTTTAAAGGGATTTGTTTGTAAGTACAAAGAAGTGTGCTTTTAGTAAATGAGATAGCCTTAGACTTCTGTATTTTAAGAGGCTTAATAATAATAATTTAACTAAAAAATATCAAATCAGGCACTTTTATTGTTTTAAAAATGGTACATTGGGGTTTTTACTGTTTATATAAATGAAAACACATTCTACCAATATAAAGTGTATGGCAGCGGTGACGCAGTTTATATATTAGGTGGTGGAGGGTTTTTTTGCATTTTTGACAGCTAATTTGAACCAAGCAGCAGCAAAAAGCTGTGATCATAGACAAAAAGAATTAAAATAGACTGTCAGCCGTGCAGTGGTTACCATAGGTTCTGGCGCACACCGCTGGCAGCGCCGTGTAGTTATGTAGTGAGTAGGCCGTAACTACATGGCGCTCCTAGTGGTGTGCGCCAGAACCAATGGTAACCGCAGCACAGCCGACGGTCTATATTTAATTATTTTTGTCTATGCTGTGAAAATGTGATACACAATGGGAACTGTCAAAGTAGGATTGTTTACTAACAGTTATGCTTCTGTTTTTGATTTATAAATATATTGTGATATTGTGCAAGTATATGGTAATTAAATTTTTTCTATTGTTTAGGTGCAGTGGTATAACATTATTATGGCTATGGTAGATGTGTTATACTATAGTATACCATAAATTAAAAGAATCAAATTTTCTCAAACTGTGTCCTCTCCCATTGCAAACACAAAGCACGAGTATAACTGCAATAAGCATTTTATACTTATAAGCAACCCCGTACAAAGGAGGGTACTCAGCAAGTAATGTATAAATGTATTGTGTCTAGCTTTGTTAATAAGTCAGACCAGCTGTTTTTTAACCATGCTGTTTATTTAAATTTCAATAATTAATTACAGCTGAGACCAGTTTCAAACCTGTATAAAAGCATAGACAAAAAGAATGAAATATAGACTGTCAGCCGTGCTGCGGTTACCATGGTTACCATAAGTTCCGGCGCACACCGCTGCAGTTTACGTAGCGCGTACGCTGTAACTACCGTGGCGATCCCAGCGGTGTGCGCCAGAACCAATGGTAACCGCAGCACAGCTGACGGTCTATATTTCATTCTTTTTGTCTATGATAAAAGTCAATCAGTCCTGGGTCCAGATCTTACTATGAGACCTACAACACTAATAGCTTATTCCCTCTATGGTAAATTTACCAATTTCCCCTATATGGGTAATTCGGTAATATTCCCTATATGGGAAATTTCAAAATTTTTTTCCAAATGGGAAATATGCTAATATTTACCTTATGGGAAATTCACTAACAGGCTAATTGTAACGTGGAATTGATATGGCTAACTTAATGTATTGGAATGGCATGGTAATGTATCTTTATAGTCAAAGATACAATGGTCTATGCTATTCGCATTCATTTTAACACAAACTTTAAATCTTTACTCATAGGTTTATGTGGTTGGTGTCATATCACTAAATTCTCAGTTTTTTGGCCTAAGCCGTGTAGAATGGGTATTCAACTCTAAACGTGTGTGCAAAGTGTAAATACCTATTTGATGCGGCTCTCACCGGAAGACCGAGAATTTAGTGACTAAATTTATATGTTTGACTCCTATTTGTCATCTAAGTTTGAAGCTGAACTTTACTTCTACAATCTACATCCTTCGGAACAGAATCACTCATAAGAGAGTTGATAGAGCTACAATGATAGTGTGATAAACATTTCAATTTGATACATACATGTTTGGCTGTAGGAAGACTCAGATAATGTGACATCGTACAGCAAGTGTCAAAGATACAATGTCAACTGGACCCAGTTGCTGTCGGACTTTGACATAGACAGCCTCTCTGCTAATGTCAGCTGGCCTGTCGTCAGTTGCGACCAAGGCTGGGAATTTGACACTTCCGTCATCTCCTCCTCTATTGTTATTGATGTGAGTATATCAGCATAGAAATCAAAATGTACTTCATTTCAAAAGAGTTAAAACATTAAACACTGTGCTTTGTTGCAAGTAAAAAAACACCTGTTAAAATTGTACCTATATTTCGTACCTAGGGCCGAAAATGAGGTTTTGCCGGCTTGAGATCAATTTTTACTTCGTCTTGAACTTAAAACGATCAATATCTGCAAAACCCTTTCTGCCCGTGGTACAAACGCTATTTTTGACTACACTAGACAAAATTGACAAAATATATACAAAATACACTAACACTCAACACAACTGCTTCAAAGTTATGTGAATAAATATTTATAGGAATCAGTAAAAATAATAATAAATAGTAGCTAAGCAGCGGTGACAATAAAACAAGTCCATTGCAGTGCATATGGATACAGCTTGTGTATTAAATACAGTATAGATTAATGTTTGAAGTAAAAATGTGAACAGCAGATTTTTGGCTCTAGGGCCGTAAAAACCTGCTCGGGTCCCTAAATTACGATAACAGCTGGCATATGCATATCCCATCCCTGGCATATATGGACAGCAATACGTAGCTTTCAGCCTCCAATTAAAGTTTGTAAAACGGCTGAAACATCGTAATGTGACTGGCTGGGTCAGCTGAGTGGTTATAGCGCTCGCCTAGTAATCAAAAGGTCGCCGGTTCGATCCTGAGAAAAGTTAGTAGCTTTTTGATGGTTCGAAACTGGACCCAGCTGTTCCTGATCATTGGGCTTTAAATAAATGATCCTGACTAATGAAACAGCTGATCTTAGTCAGTAACAAAGCTACACAGGTCATCACACACCATTCTACACTCATCCTTCACTCATATTTGGGTTAAAATACGCACCTAGGTGGCGTCCCCATCTCAATAATTGATTGATTGATTGTGGTGAAAATGAAAATACAAAATTCAAACTATACTTTTTAGTGCCTACTTTTAACATACAATACAAAAGTTTCAATTAAAGCAATGCTGCTTAAAAATCTTACTAGAAATTAACCTGCATGGTCTGAAAGCTCTTGCGTGAACTTAGCCGCTATCATTGGTGACATGGTCGTAGAAACGTTTGTCGTCCACTGTTAGAGGAGGTATAAGAATCACTAGACGAGATCAAGAAGGTAGATCTCTTATTCAATTTTTAAATAAAAGGAATAAAACCCATTGTAGTTTAGTAATTTTGATTGGAAAACGATGTTGTCTGATATTAGTTTTTGAAATTTTAAGCTTTCTCTGATCGGCAATATTTACATATTTTCCAGTACGAGCTAGTTTGCCAATACGACATCTACCCTACATACGGCTTGGTTGCGCTCAACGCTGGAGGCCCAATAGGAGTTTACATGTTTGGGATAATAAACGACAGGTAACTGAAGGTCAGCAATGTTAATGTTTTGGTCTCCATTACTATTTATAAGTATTTTATTTGTGAGCGGAGCGAAGCTCTTTGGGATCGACTTCAGTGCAAACTTTCTAACACTAAAACTCAATAACAGCTGAACGTATTTTAGTAATTTTAGCCAAACTTAAGGTTGTTTTGACAAATGTTTGGAAGGTTTGGACAAAACCAATTTCAATTTTTGAAAAGGCCTATAATTTAAAAGTAACTCAAAGTTTTTAAATTTTAACATTGGCTTTTTGGGTGGCCATGATGGCTACAAAATATGGGTGATTTTTACAAGTTATGGACTTTTTTTAATGGATAGATATCTTCGTAGGAAACTAGTCTTTCGGCTTTTGTTAAGGATTTAATTAATAGGATTACTATTTAAGTTGACTCTTGATTACTAGAGGCTACAGAGTTTTGTATGTGTTGTTGAATCAGTAGTCATTTATGATAATGAATAAACATACAGTAAGGTGTACTAAGTTTCAAATCCCTTTCTTCTCTTTAGCAACATGTAGAACTCACAGAATCTCTAGAAAGGGTTTAAATTCAAGAAGTATCTGTTGGATTTAAGAGTCTAATCTCGGGATTTTATATTTGTTCACACTCACCGTTTTTCTAGTTAATTTAATATTTGGATAATGGAACCTAATTTGGGAAGCTCAAGTCTCAAAACTTTCCAAAAAATAAATATTTATTTTCTTGATTTTTAAAAAAAATGTTAATAATTTAAGTTTTTTAGATAGGAGTTTTATAATATATTATTTTGATGTAAAAAAAATTATCAAAATGTTGCTGCAATTCCAGTGTACACTTTTAAGAAAGTCAATCATCAATTAAATAATTAATTCCAAATAATGTAAATAAAGTGAAAAGAGCTTTCACATTAGGATCTCGATCTATATTGTCTATTTATTAACTTGACTAGGATTTGTGACTATTTTTCGATAAAAGCCATAAAATTACAAGAAAGGTAAAAATATAGTATTGGCTCAAATTGCTCTAAAAGAAACTATATTTTAATTTTTGCAGGTTTGGAAGGAGGTTGTCATTCTTTATTTGTCTTGCGACGCTCATCTTTGGTAACCTGACAAGTGCATTTATGCCAGACTTCTGGCTGTGGGCCTTCTGTAGAGCAGTAGTGGGCCTTACGATCCCGGCCGTGTATCAGATACCCTTCATAATCTGTAAGTTGTGCTGTGTCAGCAACATTAAAATGTTTAAAACTAACAGCTTAAAGTTTTATTCTTTCACTATATTTTACAGATGTATAATATTTTGGGTATTTTCCTGTTGTACCAAATTTGAAGGAATTTAGGCTTCAAATTCAAATCCCGGGCAAAAACATTGATCAGCTGACGACCCATAATTCCATGCAAAATCGTCATCCACGAACGAAGGGACCAGGACTGGCTGTCTGTCTGTCTGTTGTAGTCGAGTAGTGATTGTAAGACGTCGTTTTGGGTAAGCCACTAAATAACTTCTTGATCAGCATTGTACCTATGTGTTATCATAGATTAAAAGAAGTAGACATTTTGTATTGTAAGGGAAAATAATCCCTTAAATGGTGTCCTTTTTTCCCGTTAAATTTTTTTTCCATCTTGGTTTTGCTCAAAGCGAGCAGGAGTTTCCTCAGGCATTTCTGACTTCAGAAGGCTTTCATAAGCGACATTTCAGAAGTCTGAGCCAAGTATGGAACCTTAGGCAGCACCAGATGTGACACTCATCGTCCGCGGGCCTTCTGTAGTGTCATACATGAGGAGGCGGAACCGGAGATAGTCCTCTATGATGCGCATGAGGTATGCTGGAACGTGGAAGGTGTTCTCAAGATTGTCCAGCATATCACACCACCTCGCGGAATTAAATGCGTTTCGCACGTCGAGAGTTATGAACAGCACAACACTTGCTTCACCTCCTTAATAGCGTCGACCGTAGTATGTCCCATACTGAATCCATACTGACGAGGGGACAAGTCCCCCACAGCAACTACGGCTGAATTCAGCTTCCCAAGGACATTGCCAGCCGTATCCAACATACACAGAGGTCTGTAAGAGGATGGCAGGTCTGGGTCTCCCTTCCCCTCCCCAACAAGCACAAGCCTAGCTGTTTTTAAGCACGAGGGGAAAATCCATTCGACCAGGCAGGCGTTGAACATGCTTAAAAGGGTCAAGGGGTTAGTTGTCAAAACCTTCTTGAGGACTTTGCCGAGTACCCCATCGGGTCCAGGAGCCTTATTGTTCTTCAAGGATAGGACGGCCGCCTCCATCTCTTCAAGACTGAAAAGTGGGACGTCGTCCACTCTTCCGAAATCCCGCAGTGGACGCAACATGTGAGCCGGGAAAAGCCCCTGGACTATCCTCTCCATAGTGGCCCTGTCCATGACGGAAGGTGGAGAGCGGTTGCCAAGTTTCTTGGTTACAAGTTTTTAACCAAGGCTCCACGGGTTGGACTTGACATTGTCCCTTAATGTCTCCCAGCAACTGCACTTGCTCTGGTTGACGGCTCGACGAAGAGACCTCCTAGCCACCTTGTAAGCATCAGACTTATGACGTCTATCTACGGGTCCTCTGGCCCTGGTCGCAAGTCTTCTGGCTCTCAATGCTGCTCGACGCAATTCCGCGATCTCGGCAGTCCAGCAGTTCAAGGGTTGCTTATTTGCACCGGGATCTCCTGCAAGGCATAGGTTGTGTATCTCACTAACTAGTAATTTTGTAAGAATAATACACTCAGTTTAGGGATTGTTTAGTATTACGGCTTTGCCTGACTAAGTTTTTTACAGCTCTGGAGCTGGTTGGACCTAACTATCGTTCCTTTGTCACTGTCATGACTTGCCTCTTCTACACCCTGGGTCTGGTTCTGTTGGCTGGGGTCACATATCTGGTGAGGGACTGGGTCCATCTCTCTATTGTAACGTCTCTACCGTTCCTCCTGTACTACATATACTGGTGGTAAGTTTAAAATACTTGAAGTAGTATTAGATGATTAGTATAGAATAAATTATTTCAAGATGGTGTTGTAAATGAGTCTTGTATTGAGACAATGTTTTGATAGTCACAATAGTAAAAACATCAGGAATAATAAATATTTAAAATAACATATGATTGTTGAGGAATACAAATAGAAAATATATAACTGATTCTTCCGCACTGAGGAAGTGTTCAAGGCGTATATCGTTTGATCTGTCTTGATGAATGTCGCCGTGAAGGTGTTGGTCGATAATATACAGATGTACTTGTGTCTGGTTGATGATTGCTTGATGCATGACTGGTGGATGAATGATTGGTGGATGAATGACTGGTAGACGAATAACTGGTAGTGTTGAACGGAGGAAAAAATGTCAAATCTGCATTTTCAATGTTTTCACTAAATTCTTTCGTTTTGGTGGTAGACTTTTTCCAGCTATTTTTTTCTGACACATGTATCTTCTGTGGATGATTTTGATCCTTTTCTGATTTCTTCTTACTTAGGTTGATTTGCAAGTGCCGTATCCATGTTCGACCCAAAAGAGGACTGTATCCGTCAGTAACAACAAATAACTGTTTGACGGTTGATGTCCCATTGTTTTTCACTCTAACTGAAGAAATGCACAGCGGAGAAAGTAGCTCCCCTGTGTAAGAGCGAAATTTGACAGATGTTGGGGTTATAGTGTCCATTGAAATGTTTTAACGATTTAAATCTCCTCTAGGAAGTAGAGTGTGGGTGCAACCTGAATCAACCTCAAACTTTTGGGGCCGGTCATTAAAAAGAACTGTCGTTATAAACTTATCAGTGTCTGACTGGTGTATGTCATGAATGTTTCCAATTTGACCTAAATATCATCAACATCCAAGGACTGGTTATCATTATCTTGATTTAAGTGTTTGATTGATTTTTAACCACTTTGTTTAGACAGTAGGGACTTGATACATACCTTCGAAATGTGGCCCTTTTTGTTACAGTCATTACAGCGGACTTGAGACCTGTGTAGCCTGCATTGAGGTGACAAGTGATTTTTCTTGCCACACCGAAGACAAACGCCATCCAAGCCAAGAGCAGTCAAGTTGACTTGTCCTTTGCACCGATAATCTCCTCGTTGTGTCACAGAAGATATGGAGCTGCTGTTGTCTGACGAACGACTGCTGCTCTCACCTGAAGAATGATGGCTGAATCTAGCTGACGATAGTTGCCTTTTCGAATGTCCTGCCAACTTGTTGACACTTACGTTGCTGTAAGACGGTTGTGACTGCTGCGAAAACTCGTATATGGCATTGGAATTCAGCTTTGAAGCTTTAATTGCTAAAGCTCGTGTTACAGCAGAGTCAAAAGTTAGATCCTTCTGTTGAAGAAGGTTCTCCCTTATGGAAGAATCCCTAATTCCTCGTATGAATTGTGCCCTGAGGAATAGGTCAGAAACAGAAGCGTTAAAAGTCGAAATTTGCTTTTTGAGGGACGTGTCATAACTGGAAATTGACTCATAGACTTTTGTAGCCGAGAAAAGAATTTATGTTGTTCTACAATTTCATTTTGAGCAGGAAAGTGATTTGTCATTAGGGCAGTAAGCTCTTCATACTTCAGCTCATTTACCTTCTTTGCTAGCGATAAGGTAGACAACAAGTCGTAGCCAGAAGAGCCTAGACTGTTAATAAATATCTGGGCACAGAGATCTTTGTCTGAGAAAACGTTTTTCAACTTTAAGTAGTTTTCAAATCTCTCTTTGAATTAAAAAACGTTTCTTGAGTACTGTCAAACTGGTCAAAATTTGAAATCAGTGTTAAATTCTTTGATGGTTGTGAATCAAACATACCTTGAAGAGCCATTGTAAGTGTTTGTAGAAATAGTTTAAATTGTTCCCGGTCTATCTTGCCCATCCCATCCTCGTCGCCACTTTAAAATACTTGAAGAAGTATTAGATAATTAGTATAGAATAAATTATTTCAAGATGATGTTGTAAATGAGTCTTGTATTGAGAACAATGTTTTGATAATCACAATGGTAAAAACAGGGTCTGACTTAGGGGAGGTACGATTGAGGCATTAGTTCAAAATTCCTCCGTGAACAGCGCTGTAGTAGAGAGCATTTTGGCAATGAAGGTTTACTAATCGCAAAAATAGTTCTGTTCGTAAAATAAAATTATTAATGCCTCAAATTCAATTTTATAATTTTTTTTATTACAAAATTACTATCATAACCTAACCGAACTAACCAAACTTGCTAATAATGAAATAATATAAAAAAGTTTATTAATAGAAAAATAATTCTATTCATTAAATAAAACTAGAAATTGCTCAATTAAAATTTTATAATGACTTAATAATAAAATTAAACTGTCATAACCGAACCAAACCAACCAAACATGCTGATAATGAAAAAATCTTAGTCAAAAAGTAAGTGCCACCAGCGGGATTCGAACCCGGGACTTTCAGCGAATCAGCCCGGCACGCTAACCACTAGACCAACGAGGCCGATGGCTGCAAACCGTATTGTTACGGTAATGGTGTTCCCTCAGCTAATGAGAAGCCCACAGCTGTCATCGGAAGCTCATCTATACCTCCCCTGAGTAAATACCGTAAAAACATCAGGAATAATAAATATTTAAAATCTATATATATAGGTAATACGTGAAGCAGTTTTTTGTTAACGCAACTCCTCCCTTATTTGTGGACCAATTTCAACGTTTAAGGTGTCAAAAGATTTGTCTCAATATGTAGTAGTGCAATAAGGTTTTAGAATTTTAAAATTCACACTCTTAAGGGCGTGAGACCTTCTCAAAGGTCGGGGTTTTCCCATAAGGAATACATAAAACAAATTTAAAAACAAAAACACCTGTTTATCAAAAGAATAGTTATTTGTGCAACTAGTGAGAAAAGTAAGCAATTGACTCACTCGAGAGAAATCCTTACTCACGAGCCGTAGGCGAGTGAGGAATGGTTTCTCGAGTGAGGCAATTGTACTTTGAACTCGAGTTGCACATTATACTTTTCCTACAGTTACCATAAAACAAATAAATTGGTGAAGAAACATAACCTATTTTTACACAGAAGTGAACTTTTAATATAACATTTAACGTGAAGTGACAAATACAACAGTACAACAGCTGACCAGCTGATTTACAGCCAGTGCTGCCAACGTATTTCGCGCGCATACGACGTTGCCTGCATGTTACGCGCTCACTATTTCGTGCCTTCACGTTGCAAATCTGGAGTGAGACAAAGTAATTAGATTGAGACAATGTTAACATTGTCTCACTGATGAGCGAATTGGCCACTTTGCTTTCTCAAATCAGTGAGAGAACATGTACATTGTTAGGTAACTGTAGGAAAACTCATTAGCTTTTTGGGAGTAAATATTAATGTTTGTCATGTAGGTTAAGGCCAAGTTAAACAGTTAATCAGTTTAGTTGGAAGAACAGAAAATGCCTCAAGTTCAAAGAAGAAACATTGAAAACGGGAGGATGAGACAATTAATAATATGGTATCTTATGCGTATGAGGAGAGTAGAAAAAGAGAGGCCTGGTATAACCATCCAGATACACATTCACTTGGTGAGATGAATAATATTTGCCAGCTCTGCTATGCAACTTACTTTGAAAGTGATAAAATATACAAAGCACATAGGGTTGTCACGGTGGTAAAGTAAACTTGCCTAATGTCAGATGAAATGATTGCATGCAAGAATTTTTTACTTCTGACACTGACAGATCGAGATATTTCAAAACATTTATTAGAAACTATAATGATGCTTGACTATGATAAGTTCAAGTAGTAAGATTATACCAAATCTTGGCGGACCTTATGTTTTTATTGTTAACTTTTGTATTACTCGCTCTACTTCAATTGAGAAAAAACACAAATGGATTGTTTACTTCTAGGTTATGTTTCCAGTTCCTCGGACAAACTAAGTTGTTTGACTGAATTCACCAACACAATCCAGACATTTAAGTCAAAAATACGAAGTTTCAAAATTTGCTATTGAAAGCTTTAGTGGCAATATTAGACCAAACATAAGTGAAGGAATTAGTGTTTATGTATTCAACAATCGTAGTTACGGTCAAGTTTATTTTAATGATTCAGGAGAGGCAAATACACACGCTGTTCAAAAAGAGAAAATGAAAATTGCTATCCAAATCTTATAGCTACAAGAGTTATCCATCCTATTTTGACAAATGAATCCATAATTTCAAAACTTTTGGACAGGTATTAAGAGAAACTGCACTGAACAACGTGAGAACGTTCTGATATGCGGGGCGTATACTGTGACTGACAGACAACAAGTTAAAATACGTTAACCACCTTTCAATGGTTTTGCTGCCTTAGCCTATTCAAAACAGATTATGGCTGTCCAGCTGGTAACCCAGAGTTTTTGGGTAAAAAATGGAGCACATGAAATGGTTGATATCACCTCACTTTACAGGAATTTCTACGGAGAAAATTCGTTTGATTAGAGGGAAGTCTCAAATCAAAGAAATAAAATGACCCAACTTAAATTAGTTAACACAAGTTATCAGTAAGGCAACAGTTTTCTTCAATTCTCACTGCTGGAAAAACTTTGTAGCATTATGTTAACTCAAATTGAGATCGTTTAGCATTCATTAGTTATCAGTTAAAACTGAGAGCAGAAATAATGTACGTGGACATTTACGACGCAAATACAGATATTTTAAATTAGTTTCTAACAAGTGTTTAAACAACTCTAAGATGTAACTAGAATTACTCAAATTTAAGTATATCGTTTTCCTCGGCGTTATGTTTCATACTATGCGGCTCATCGAGCCGCACGGGTTCTCTAGTAACATATGATTGTTGAGGAATGCAAATAGAAAATATATAATAGTAAGAGTAAGTCATGTAATTGTTAAACATATTGTAGGGAACTTGAAAATTTTATTAATAAGATACCAATAATAGGCTGTGCTCACAAGCTATTTATTTTACGCCACACTACATTATTTTGACGAACTTCCCACGTAAGGATTTAGTCCAAAAAACAGCTGTTTGCCGCCAGCTTATTCAAATGGGGTTTCATTGCGTACTACTGTACTGTAATGAGTTTTACCGGACACCAATCAGCTGATTATACTGTATTTAGGTGGCAATGAATGGTTATAAACAAAAACATAACCTCTCCTAGAGGTTATGACTAGTGATTTTTAGTCCTTTAGTTGGTGGTAATATATAAGGATTTGTACAGATTTAGTAAACTATCGTATGTCACTCGTCCAAAATGTGTTTACCGGACTCGTATGGCAATCCCGTACTCGACTTCGTCTTGCACGGGAACGACCACACTTGTAAGGCAAACACTTATTTTCAGGACTAGTAACGTAATATACTATTGCGGTCTTCCCAAAATTTGAGTTTTGGCACCAAAAAGTAAAGGGACATTCTTGCTGACCCAGGTAAATTACAGGACTTTGTTTCCCTTCGGCACAAAATATTTGTATAATACTTCATGAGACTTTTAATTACACTCAACGTTTAATTACACTCAACAACGTTTAATTACACTCGACGATTTATTAGAGGAGCTAATGTACTAACCACTAACTAACTAACCACACATGTTGGGTTTGTTTATTGAGGCTTTGCCAAAACCGCCTCAGAAATATGTTTACGTTTATTTATGCGGTTGTGAGAATGTCAGCGACGACAACCAAAGCCAGTTCAATCAAAAGAAGACATCACACAGAACTTAAAAGAACGAGTCCATCCTCACAGGATTTGAGACAGTAGAAAAAGTATTCATTAAATAAAGTGTACTCTAGCAAAAAAAAAAGACATTACTACTGTGTCACAGCACACAACAGAATATGTCTAGCATACACAATTTTGTCTATTCTACCCAATTTGTATATTTTAGCCAATTATGTCTATCCTACACAAGTTTACGCTGTTGCAGGTTTCTACCTGAGTCTCCAAGATGGCTCTTGGCTAAAGGGAGGTTAGAAGAAGCCTCCAAAATACTGGAAACTCTTGCAGCCGTCAACCAAAAGGAGTTGCCAGATTCTTTTAAACTTAAATTAAAGGTATATTATATTCAGATTCAGAATTAATATATTGACAAAAACCAATACTTGCTCACGCTTGAATTTGATCAATAAACATAACATGACGGTTAGTGTAATGTCAGCTAGCGATTTTTTAAATGGCGTGAATACCTAAGATTAAGCAATTGTTAAATAAAATTGTATCAAACAACTAGTTTTAACACCCAATTGTACAAGAACACATGTCTATTGTAGTCATATTTTGAAGACTGACAATTTTAAAAACACAAAAAAATAAATAAACAAAGACTCAAAAACAAAATACTCAGAAAAACGCATACATTAATATTTAACAATCAACTGATTTACTCTTCTTGTTTACACTCTTATGCTGTCTTCAACCTCCTCTGATCTTCACGTTTGGTAGTTTGGTTTTCACAATTGCAATATAGAACAGTTTTTTCAAAGTTCACTTCTTATGGAATTTTGGTGATAGTTTAATTAGATGATAAGCAAAGTTTCCAATTCTGTTTGACAGCAAGGTATGATGCTGCAACGTTTATCTACTACACAATGATAAGCAAAGTTTCCAATTCTGTTTGACAGCAACGTCTGATGTTGCAACGTTTATCACACAATGATGAGCAAAGTTTCCAATTCTGTTTGCAGCAACGTATGATGTTCCAATGTTTATCTATTACACACAATGATGAGTAAAGTTTCAAATTCTGTTTGAAAGCAACATATGATGTTGCAATGTTTATCACACAATGATGAGCAAAGTTTCCAATTCTGTTTGACAGCAACGTATGGTGTTGCAACGTTTATCTACTACACACAATGATGAGTAAAGTTTCAAATTCTGTTTGACAGCAACGTATAGTGTTGCAACGTTTATCTACTACACACACAATGATGAGCAAAGTTTCCAATTTTGTTTGACAGCAACGTATAATGTTGCAACGTTTATCTACTACACAATGATGAGCAAAGTTTCCAATTTTGTTTGACAGCAACGTATGATGTTGCAACGATTATCTACTATACAATGATGAGCAAAGTTTCCAATTTCGTTTGAAAGCAACATATGATGTTGCAATGTTTATCACACTATGATGAGCAAAGTTTCAAATTTTGTTTGACAGCAACGTATGATGTTACAACGTACTCGTAGTGAGATGAAGAGGCTGGAGACTGGTCCTGGAGTTTCTGCACTGTTCAGAACACCCAACATGCGACTGAAAACCATCCTCATCACTCTCAACTGGTAACTATCACATAGTGCTTGAGCTTATAGTGGATAAAATATACTTTGAAAAACTTTATATATTCAAGGGATTATGCCAACCCTGATTAAGATTGTCAGGAAGTTTGTTGAAGAACTGTGTGTATGTTTTTTTTTACTAGACTTCTCCAAGTAATGTTACTGGTTAAACTTGTTTAAAAATTGAAGTAAAGGAGAGTGTACCAGTTAATGATTGTTCTAATATATGTGTCAGATTGCTGATAGGTAATATTTATTTGTTTTGTCTGTTTTAAACTGACAACCTTTTAATTGACATCCGTCTATTGTAGGTTTGCCAATGAGATGGTGTACGTAGGCTTGAGCTACTATGGACCAGCCCTGGGTAGTGATCAGTATCTCAGCTTTTTACTCTCCTCTCTGGTAGAGATCCCAAGCTACTTGGCATGCTGGGTAGTCATGGACCGCTGGGGGAGACGTTGGCCTCTCGTTATATGTATGATAGCCAGTGGAATATGTTGCATCATTACTGTTCTTCTTCCTCCTGGTGAGTGAAACCTTTTAAAATAGGAGGGCTGGGGACTGTCTGTAAATTAAAGTCTCCATCTCGATTACCCTTCCCGGCTAATCAAACTAGTTCAAATCTGAGACCTGGCTATATTCCTTGCTTCTCCCACTACTTTTCTAGCTATGCGATGGTTAGTCTGGTCAATGTAGCCGAAAACAATGTTAGGGTAATTTATTGCTTTGCCAAAAGTATGAGTTGTGCTCTGTGATTGGTTCTCTGTGAAGAAAGAGTCAACCCCTATCGAAATCTGTTGCCAGTTGAAAGATTTGTATGTAGAAATGTGTTTAGAAATAGGAAATGTGCAAAAGTTGTTTTAAGATTTTGTATAAGGGTGAAAACATCTGCACAACGAGGCTGGCAGTGGGTGTTCCTTAGTTAGCATCAAGACAGTGATTAATGATCGTTGTCCTTGACAGTCTTATGAAGATGTTACCTATGAGTTTGGTAATCTTTTGTTTGGTCACATACACTTCTCGAACTGCTTACGAAGAGACTATAGAATGTCCGCAGACGGCCTACATCATGCAAATGTTTACAATTGCCACAGAGCTCCCTCCATACATTGTGAAAATATTGTGTATTCAAACACTTAATTATATTCATATCCGTCGACTGACAATGGACTTAAATAGCGATTGACCCCTTCAACCACAGATAACAGAACATTAATCACAAACTGCGATTCATATACTTCACAGACCATCAATATTCATTCACATCGTTTTTTGCTAATGTGAGACTAATGCATAGGAATGGAATTTGGCTAGAATAATAAAATTAAAGGATGAAGCAAAGAACACAGCGCTTTCAGATTTGTACTATCTTGTTTGGCTGTCGTGTTCAAAAGAAAACAAATGAAACTATGAACTTTTATTAAAGCCCCAAAAACAGTTTAGTGAGTCGGTGGCTCAGTCGGTAGCGTCGCGGACTTCGGGCCCAAGGCAGTAGTGTCGTGGGTTCGGATCCTGGTCACTGCCGATAACATTTTATCAGTACAGTTCACCTTTGTACTGTACCGGCTCACTCCTTGCTTTGCTGTAAACGATCCACGCACGGGCGCTTAGTCTATATGGACGGGCAAATGCAAGGTTAAAAGAGGCCGCCAACCTCTTAAAAAAAAAAAAAAAAAAAAAAAAGAACTAACAAACAAAACCAACTGACTTATCCTAGGATCCAAGATCCAACACAAAACCTCCTTATTTATACCGATGACTTACAGAATATTAAACTTGTTTCCAGAGGCAGTGACTGAGACATTGGTCCTGTTTTTGATGTCAAAGTTCGCAATATCAGCATCATTCCTAATCATTTACCCATTCACTGGAGAGCTTTACCCCACACAGCTGAGAGGGGTGGGGATTGGCTTTTCTGCCTACATCAGTGGCCTTGGGTTGATCATCATCCCATTCATCACTTATTTGGTTTGTTGAAGATTTAGATTATAAGTAATGTGTAAATAAATTGGTCTCAATTGCTTTATTTAATTTAACACGTTCGCTACCACAATAGTTCAATATTTTTCATTCATATGGACAAGCGACGCACAAATGCGACGGCTGGTCACATTAAAATAGACTGACGTCGCATTCTTGCGCCGGTGTACCAATGTTATTAAGAAGCTTATATCTTTGTAATGGTCTATTTGAAGGCCCTGAATTTTCTGCAGTGGTCTACAGAGATGTCTGTTGCATATGTGCGTCACTTGGTCTGTGGATATGATGATTAGTGACGTCATATGATAGTTGGCAAAACTGTTTTTTACTTTGCTGCATCACTGGCCCCTGGTCTGTGTGTACTGTGAACCGAGTGACACCCAGTCTAGATGTGTAATATTGAAATGTATACCTTGGTCAGTGACATGACCGCAGCGTCGCATATATGTGGTGATTGGTAGCGAACGTTTTAATATAATTTAACAACCCAAAAACATTTTCCTTACATTTTTAGTTTTTCATAGGTACATCAATTAACTGCCTTAACACCAAGTTTTTGGTTATTTTTAAGTTTTATAGCCTAAGAAAGCCGAAACGAGTCTTTTATCTCAATTTCTGTCTGTCTGTCTGTAACACAAAAATGTCAATTTACGCGGCCTACTCCGAGAAAACTAGAGTTACCGATTACGATTCAAATCATTTTTCTGTATTTACTGGATTGGTGAGAGTGTCTTTGGCTATTGAAATATGGCCAACTAAACTACTTTGGAAATAAAATAATGAACCATCAAAAACCCAATTTTGTGCAATTTTTGTCAAGTTTTCTCCCAATGTTTACCACATTACGTCATCTATGAACAGATGTTTGGATATTTTTTCTAGCTGTCATTGACATGTTTACATGAAATAATGTTGTTTACATACAAATACAGCAACCATTTCCAAACACGTTTTATAAGCGAATCCAAACCAAGTGAGATATAAAAACGTTGTGCCTTACATAACAGATTTAATTAATCACAAGTGCAATTATGTGTTGAGTATCATCCAGGTCGGGAACCGGAGATTTGGTATTATTTATCAAATCGTACTTAAGTTTTGATAACCGTGAAAAAGACCGTGATCAGTGTTGTTTAGGGCTTGGAAACTTACACTTTTTAAATCATCGTCACCAATACTTACACTTACAAACGAGGTTTCCACTCATTGAAGGCACTTCAATGACGGCTGTTGTGCAAAGTGTAAAGTAAAAAATCACTGCAGTGGGAGATCGGGGATTTTCTGCGGTCTCGAAAGATCTTTTCAATTTCGTTGTGATCGTAACAAAGGTTTACGGATGCTACTAAACTCGCTTTTCCCATGTGTCACTTATGGTTTCTACTCACCGCTATTGTAATGCAATTGCTGGACCGAACTGCCAATAGGCCTATCTCTTGGCTATCCCATCTCTTGGGTACGTAGGCTATCCAATTATTCATATCCACATTTCAACGATGATTCTTGATGCTGGTACTTTTCCCTAGACAACATGGCCTACCTACTAAGGAAATAAAATTACAAACGTCCAAAACCCCAATTGTTTAGAGAATATGTCATCTATTAAATAACAAACCGTTGCTGGGATAAAGGTTGATTCTTCAAACTGTCGCCGATATTTTTAATTATAAGTGGTTTACAAATAATGCAATAATGGGACATAACTTTGATTTCCAATAACGTTTTGAGCAAAAGTCGAAAAACCAAGGGAGGGAGGGATAACTTGTGACTTGATTAACGCATTTAATTAGTCAGAAGTACTATAGTTCTTAACTGTAATTTTTTTTTTTTTTGGTTCTGGTTCTTTTACTTAGAACCGGTGGTAGCGAGAATCATTTTTAGGTACCAACGCATCACTATTTACAATTTAGTTACCGTTGGTGTTGCACCTTATTCCTTACAGTTATAGTAAATTTAATAGATGTCTTACTATATAAGCTTTGAGTTTTCTGTCTGGAATCCAAAATGTTAATTTATACTATGAAAATGTTGTTAACACATTTGAGTGAAACGTTTTTTTTAGTAAACCATCATTTTCATGCTTTACGTTGTTTACACATCAATAGTTTGTAGACTGAATGTTGTAAATTACCGACCTAAATCGTCTTTAGTACTTCATTTCATATAGTATGCAGTCATTTTGACACCATTTTGGGTCACCTTTCGACTAATCAAATTGTTATTACAGAAGGCATTATTATTGTACGATAAGTAAATACGATATGGTAAAATTTGATGACACTAAAAAAGATTTTTAATACTAATTTTAAATGTACTTTGCTTTAGTTAAATTGTAGCAAGTGTCCTTATTCGATTCAGTATTTTTGTGTGTGTGTGTCTGTTGGTAACGCATCAGTGTCCATATTTCTCAGTGTTTCGCGGAAAAGACAAGAGCACCTTTGTTAATGAAAATGTCAACCGGAATTAAGTGTACAATGGTGAGGTTGGGGTAGTATTTCAACTACTTTTAACCAGTGTGGAAAGTAGCTTTCAATTATAGGCCTACCTCAGGGCCTCAAAGATATATAAAGCTATAAAAGTTTTTTTTTTGGTTTAATCATTGGTTTTAAAATATAGACTAATACGATTTATTTCCAGCATTTGTTTTGGGTTGAAACTGTCAGACATTATTTGCGAAGGTCTATGTGTATTCCAATACGGTAATATCTTTGCCTGCATATCTGAACAAATTCACACTTAATACGCAAACAAACTGCTGTTCTGAATATAAGAAAGTTTCCACTGACTACAAGATACTTACATAGAACAGGCACACAACTAGTTTAACATAAATCTTCCCCAGAGACTTTACATCATAGACTGCCTCAAACTGTGTTGTAGGGTTCAGAACACCTAGTGTTGCCGTTGGTTATCATGGGAGCTGTGTCAGTAGTGGGAGGCATCACAAGTCTGAGACTGCCGGAGACATTACATCATAGACTGCCTCAAACTGTGTTGTAGGGTTCAGAACACCTAGTGTTGCCGTTGGTTATCATGGGAGCTGTGTCAGTAGTGGGAGGCATCACAAGTCTGAGACTGTCAGAGACATTACATCATAGACTGCCTCAAACTGTGTTGTAGGGTTCAGAACACCTAGTGTTGCCGTTGGTTATCATGGGAGCTGTGTCAGTAGTGGGAGGCATTACAAGTCTGAGACTGCCAGAGACATTACATCATAGACTGCCTCAAACTGTGTTGTAGGGTTCAGAACACCTAGTGTTGCCGTTGGTTATCATGGGAGCTGTGTCAGTAGTGGGAGGCATCACAAGTCTGAGACTGCCAGAGACATTACATCATAGACTGCCTCAAACTGTGTTGTAGGGTTCAGAACACCTAGTGTTGCCGTTGGTTATCATGGGAGCTGTGTCAGTAGTGGGAGGCATTACAAGTCTGAGACTGCCAGAGACATTACATCATAGACTGCCTCAAACTGTGTTGTAGGGTTCAGAACACCTAGTGTTGCCGTTGGTTATCATGGGAGCTGTGTCAGTAGTGGGAGGCATCACAAGTCTGAGACTGCCAGAGACATTACATCATAGACTGCCTCAAACTGTGTTGTAGGGTTCAGAACACCTAGTGTTGCCGTTGGTTATCATGGGAGCTGTGTCAGTAGTGGGAGGCATTACAAGTCTGAGACTGCCAGAGACATTACATCATAGACTGCCTCAAACTGTGTTGTAGGGTTCAGAACACCTAGTGTTGCCGTTGGTTATCATGGGAGCTGTGTCAGTAGTGGGAGGCATTACAAGTCTGAGACTGCCAGAGACATTACATCATAGACTGCCTCAAACTGTGTTGTAGGGTTCAGAACACCTAGTGTTGCCGTTGGTTATCATGGGAGCTGTGTCAGTAGTGGGAGGCATCACAAGTCTGAGACTGCCAGAGACATTACATCATAGACTGCCTCAAACTGTGTTGTAGGGTTCAGAACACCTAGTGTTGCCGTTGGTTATCATGGGAGCTGTGTCAGTAGTGGGAGGCATTACAAGTCTGAGACTGCCAGAGACATTACATCATAGACTGCCTCAAACTGTGTTGTAGGGTTCAGAACACCTAGTGTTGCCGTTGGTTATCATGGGAGCTGTGTCAGTAGTGGGAGGCATCACAAGTCTGAGACTGCCAGAGACATTACATCATAGACTGCCTCAAACTGTGTTGTAGGGTTCAGAACACCTAGTGTTGCCGTTGGTTATCATGGGAGCTGTGTCAGTAGTGGGAGGCATTACAAGTCTGAGACTGCCAGAGACATTACATCATAGACTGCCTCAAACTGTGTTGTAGGGTTCAGAACACCTAGTGTTGCCGTTGGTTATCATGGGAGCTGTGTCAGTAGTGGGAGGCATTACAAGTCTGAGACTGCCAGAGACATTACATCATAGACTGCCTCAAACTGTGTTGTAGGGTTCAGAACACCTAGTGTTGCCGTTGGTTATCATGGGAGCTGTGTCAGTAGTGGGAGGCATCACAAGTCTGAGACTGCCAGAGACATTACATCATAGACTGCCTCAAACTGTGGAGGAGGGAGAAGAGTTTGGCAAAGACTGGACACTGACTGATTGTTTAAGATGTATACCACTACAGTAAGTTGCTTTTGGTCTCTTCATATTGTAATCTGAATGTGTAGTAATATCTGTTTATTGTCTGGTTACCATGCAGAAACCTTTAGGGTATTTTTGTCCTCATTGGATTTTCACTTAAATATTCATGAATTTTAACGTATGGAGTTTTAAGCCTTGGGGGACCTTAAAACGATAAAGTAAAACGGTCCAAAATCCAGGTCTTACTATGACACCCATGGTAAAAGCTTATGCCCTACATGGGAAATTCGCTAAAAGGTGAAAATGATGTGTACAAATTTAAGCTTTATTTGAGAGAATACTTAGTTAATAAGAAATTTTACAGTTTATTTTTCTTTGTTAATTGTAAATGTTATATATCACAATCAGTTTAAATTTTTTCCCCAACGTATCGTACCTTGTTTAGGTTTATAGTATTAGATATTTCCGTTGTATCCATTGTACTGTATTTTTAGCTGGTATCTGATTAAACTCCAAGGAAGTAAATTCTTAAATTTCTTCCTTCTATTTTTACTTTCTCCCCTTATATATTACCTATGGAGAGTTTTCGTCAAAATTTTTGTGTTTCAGTTTTGAGTGGATATATCCGTTTAGGGTCCCCTTGAGCCCAAAAAAGTGGTTTTCGAAGTGATGTATGTGTGTGTGTGGATATGTACAGAGCTACAGACCACACCTGTAGTCCGATTTTGATGAAATTGGTATGTAGGTTAGGTTAACCCATGGTATCGGTATCTCCATACTTGTTTTCATTTTTTTGAAATTTAGATTTTTAATGCTGATTTTTCCATAAAAACCCTAACAATAACGGAAAAATTGGATTTTCTGGAATGGCCCGAAAGATTTTGATAAAAATCTCGTATGCTATAGTCCTCTAAATTTTAAACAAAATGGTACAAATTCCATTTCCGTAAAAATTACGTTCCAAAAGTTATTGTAACTTATGTTATTTCCCCATAAAATAATAAAAAAATCGGATTATAGAAAAAAGCCGGTTTTAATGAAAATTACAGTGTGTTATGATCCTTATAATTCTAAACAAAATAGTACGATCCCCCATTGCTGAAAATAAATTACGGTTCAAAAGTTATTGCAGCTTTTGGAATTTTCCCTTATAAAATATCATAGTTACTCCCACTGCTTACCCATTTCAAAGGTTGTTGACAAGCTAATGGGAGAAAGTATGCATCAGATTGCTGTCAGTTTATTTCCTATAAATGACAAATCCATTTCACAGGCCAAACTCTATCAACACCTCTTATGAGGACCTGGACGCCCCTGTAGAGGTGGAACTACAGTCCCAGACCTACAGACCAGCTATGAGTCTCTCACTGTCTACGCCAGACAAGGAAAGTGCTCTACTGGGCCGTCGTCCGCCGCGGCTCGTTAGACAAGCCAGCATTATGGAGACACCATTAGACTCTCGGGGCAGTATGAAGATGACCTACTGGTTCTAGAGTCAGAAAACCCCTTATTGTGTAATTTAGGGAGGTTTTGCTCAAAGTTAACACAATTTCAAAGGGATATTTAACGGTTTTCATTGATTAATAACTGATATCCATGCATTTGTGGTCCCACTTACTTTGGATACAGTCTGTACTATGTATCACGGATATTAGAATAGAAAAAGTATGGATCATAACAAATGAGGTCACTTGCCCGAATCTCTATACTAATTGCTGTAAAAGCTGGTTTGTGCGGTTTTTGACAGTTCCATTTAAATAATATAATAACAAAAACATCTTTACTTTCGGGCCAGTTATGTCATTTGTTTATGTTAATGATCCATACAGTTTCTGTTCCAAAATCTGTGGTCTGTATAATGGAACTTATATTCTAACCTTCCCTATAACTGGGAATTGGCTAACTTAAAATGGCACAACTAATTCAGTTAATTTGTGTTTTTACCAGGAAAGTTTTGGGGTAGTTTTGATTTTTTCCATTTCTTATGTATTTTGGGGTGCTGAATCCGAATCTGAGGTTTGCCAATAAAAATTCTTGACGCAACATTGACAAAAATGAGAAAAATATGGAAAAAATTATATTTTTTGTAATATTTAGCTTATAACTCAAAAACTATCAACTTTTTGTTATTAGTCTATATTATAAAAATTAAAGTACACAATATTTGCTACAAAATGTACCCCTAATGTGGTAATCTCCGATTAACCGTTTAGGCTCCAGAGCTATTTGAAAATTGGAACATTTTGTGTTAGTTTTTAAATTTCTCCAATTATTCTGTCAATGACATATATTCATTGTATATGCCCAGGCAAAGGTCTTATATAAATCCAAAGTGTTGAAATTGATTAATTTTGTGTTACTGAACCGTTGACTTTTTATTTAGTGTACAGAAAAGTTACACGAACTGTTGCCGTTTAAATTATCCTCGCTCAGAGGGTTGTAATGAGGCAGGTTCTGGCAAACGTTTCGATGCACTATTTGTGAGAATTCTAGCTTGTTCATCTGGACAATTAAAAAAAGGTTAAAAGTAAAAAAAAAATTACACATAATAATAAGTGGTACCAAAATTAAAACTATCAAAATTAAATAACACCAATCTATTAATCATGTAATATCTTATGCACCTGATGACGTGATATTAAGATATACAGTAAATAATAAAATGTTATGTAGGCATATACTGTTGCTAAGCATTTACATTGTGTGTAGATTTGATAGATTGTAGGTCCAAGGGCGTAGGGCATAGGCCTACATGAGAGTGGTAAGGGTTAATTGACTTAAGATAGTCAATACAAATTTTGGCTAGAAAACTAAATCCAACGTTGCCTCACTGCCCCCAACTCAAGCAGCTTTGTGGACATAACTCGCTTAGAGTTTACATTTACATTCGGGTGAATGAATGGGGGTGAAAAAATTAGTATTGGCCTATGGTAACAGTGCCAATCATTCTAAGCCTTGCATCGGTCTTGAAATTTTACACAGACAATTTTATAATGGGTGGGTGCCAATACGATTGAGGATGTACAATGGGCTGTGATGCTAGAGTCTAAGTGAGTAAGAAAGTAAGTATAGTACCAAACGCACATTCCTTTATTTATTAACTTGTTAAATCTACACACAATATAAATGCTTATCAACAGTATATGCCTACATAACATTTTATTATTTACGTATATCTAAAATCACGTCATCAGGTGAATACGATATTACATATTGATTAATAGATTGGTGTTATTTAATTTTGATAGTTTTGATTTTGGTACCACTTATTATTATGTGTAATTTTTTTTTACTTTTAACCTTTTTTTAATTGTCCAGATGAACAAGCTAGAATGCTCACAAATAGTGCATCGAAACGTTTGCCAGAACCTGCCTCATTACAACCCTCTGAGCGAGGATAATTTAAACGGCAACAGTTCGTGTAACTTTTCTGTACACTAAATAAAAAGTCAACGGTTCAGTAACACAAAATTAATCAATTTTAACACTTTGGATGTATATAAGACCTTTGCCTGGTGTATACAATGAATATATGTCATTGACAGAATAATTGGAGAAATTTAAAAACTAACACAAAATGTTCCAATTTTCAAATAGCTCTGGAGCCTAAACGGTTAATCGGAGATTACCACATTAGGGGTGCATTTTGTAGCAAATTTCGTGTACTTTAATTTTTATAACATAGACTAATAACAAAAAGTTGATAGTTTTTGAGTTATAAGCTAAATATTACAAAAAATACAATTTTTTCCATATTTTTCTCATTTTTGTCAATGTTGCGTCAAGAATTTTTGTTGGCAAACCTCAGATTCGGATTCAGCACCCCAAAATACATAAGAAATGGAAAAAATCAAAACTACCCCAAAACTTCCTCGCTATGAGTAAATTTAAATACAAATTTACTGGATTAAACACCATCATGTTCTGTTGCAACTCCTGATGTCTTTAATATAGAGTAATTACTAAAGGTCATAAATAATTTTTTTTAATGACACCATTGTATTTTCTTAATGAAACTACAAATAAAGAATATTTTGATTTGATTTGATTTAGAGGACTTATGCTGTTCCACAGTGTTGAAATAAATATCATATACGAGAAATAATCAAATTTATGATTTTTGATTGAGTAATACAGTATCTTGAACTTAACTGATTTAAACAACCAACAGCTCAAATTAGAGCCTATAATTTACTGATAGTTTTGAGTCTAAAACATCTAAAAAAACATAAGCAGTACTAACTGGAGCTATTGATTTTTAATCATACAATTCCCTTATAAATACAATTATTTTTATGTGGCTTGTTCACCTTGCGTTTGCTTGAAACTAGTCTGATTTGAATAAATAATAGCTGAAATGAAAACCGGTAATTCACTGAAGGTTCTTAGACCAAAATCTGGTGAAATACATCTTAAATTGAAAAAAGAATTCAAGAATAAATCAAATTAGATTTATGTTTTTTGGTCGAGTGATGCAGTAGATAAATATATGCCGATGCTTGATGTGAAATCTATGCGTGCATACCTTCAATTTCAGACCTCAATCATAAAAATCTGTCGGGTAGAAAAGCCAAACAAACTCGGTAAAGAAAAACCAAATTTAACTCCCATAAGAAATACATGGGGGAGCAAATTTTGTTTACGTTTTAAGACGAGTGGGACTGTAAATATATGCAGATGCTTGATGTGAAATCTGACAGGCATAGACATATTTATTTAATTAATTTACACAAAACGTTCTTTATATAGTACAATTCATACATAAGAACAGGTGTTTTCGTTTTGTCATATTGAGCATTTACTAAAAATAAAATAAAATGAGTAGTTGATATAATTAAAATAAACTCAATAGTACAAGTAGGATATAATGAATTTTTGACTACACAATAGGATTCTACAAATATTCTCCCAGTGAATAGTATGCTTTATAAATTATTTTATCTTTTATTTGGTTTTTGAATTGAGTAACATTTAAATTTTATAGATACAAGGGTAACTCTATTTCCAATCCTAGTCTCATATATTGAGGGCTGTTCCTAATGCGGTAATCTGAAGTTATAATTTATTCCTTGTATTGTAATTATTAATGTGTAAAGTTATATTTATCTGACAAACTCTCTTTGGTGTTATGGACCCAATTTAGAATTTCATTTATGTATAATCCGAAAATGGTGTGAATTCTAAGATTTCTAAAACAAGTTTTCACTCCTTAACTTAGTTAAGATTCTAAAGATTTTTTTGTAAAGTTAGTGGGGATTTGACCTCCAGTATGACTACATACCTTAATATGGATTAAATGTATCCATAATAAACTGAGATACATGTAGCCTGGGTTACACAATTTATAAATTAAAGAAATGAGCGTCTAGTAATACACCAAAAAATGAATGAGATTTTACTAGGCCTATATTTGGAATTTTATAAAAAATTACACTGTTTTTCAAAGAGTTTGGTCAATATTTATTTTTAAGCCATTGTCTGAAAACCAATTTTTCATATAGTCTAAACTCCAAAGTGTTTTCCATTGAAGTAAGTTATTTACTGAGTTCTCTCTTATGATTGCTGTTGTATCATCAGCAAATAATATTAAATCTCTGCCAATAGCTTTTGGGAGGTCATTTAATAAATACCAGGAAACAATAGAGGACCCAATATTGACCCTTGAGGTACACCATAATTGGATGAATTCTAGTTTGACATATGTTTTACACAATTGTTTGTCACTATTGTTCTATAATTTCTATTCTGCAAATCAGAGTCCAATAGAGAAAAACAATTTCACTTTATACCATAGTCTTTAAAAGCAACATTGAATGATCCAGAAAATCAAAGACTTTGGACAGAAAACACTAGCAGTTGTTTCAGACCCGCCCAAAGCCTCTGTAACATCATAAATAAATTCAATCAGTGTTAGTGCTGTATGTCTTTCTAAAACAAAACTGTTTTCCATCAAACAAATCATTGCTATTAAAATTTGGGCGTGCATAAATATTTATTAAATTTGAGACTTCAATCATGAAAATCGGTCAGGTAGAAGAACCAAACAAACTCGGAAAAGAAAAACAAAGTCTTTTAAAATATAAGATAACTTTTTAAATAAAATAATTAGCATACTCAACACCCTATCCTGCGTATGCCTTCCCCAAAGCTCTGTACTATTTTAAGTATTTTGGCATCAAAATCTAAATCTTAGAACAAAAAAATTAAGGGCAAAAAAGTTTGTATATGTTGTTTGATATTTTGTTGATATATATTTTTTAAGTATAAGGGAAATCCTGTGTTGTAAATTATTTGTATTGATTAATTGTGGACTTTAGAAATTATAAATTATGTACATTTAATTTTGGATTTTATTGTGTAATCAGCACTTGTAAAAAAATTCATGTTGAACGTTTTTATGGTAATAAAATTAAAGTAGTTAAAAAAAAATACCTTACTTAATCTCACTTTTACTTGTTTTTTATGTTAAATTCTAAAGAGTGGAGGGTTTTTCAATAACGAATAGGCCTACTGTGTAACTAAATTTATTAAATTAAATCACAGCCTGAACAAAAAATGCAACAACTGAGTCAAGAAGCGTTGGCTCTCTTCATCAGTTCAATTTGTTGATTGACAATAATCATGTGTTTCTCTGAGTGATATGTCTTGAACACCTGACCTAACACCACAGAAGTGTCAACATCGTTCAGCCACAGGTTGGCGCTTGAAAAGTTGTCTAGGATACTGAGGAACGCTGTGAAAAGAAAGGAATGTTATTTGTGTACCCAGTATTGATAAATATTTAACCTCAATGACTGCTTGAGTTCTTAATTTATGTTCTGGACCTATAGGTATGTGTTTTGCCGCATGGTGCTGCATTCTCAAGGTCTTCTTACACCAAACCTACTAAAGAAATATGTAATAAATTGTCTTTACAAAGCATGTGCGCTTATACTAATTGTGACAATATAGGTGTAATTGTGACAAAAAATGTACATTTCTACAAGATCAATTCAACTCAGGCAACCATTAAGGTAATTGATAAATATTGAAATAAAAATGGACTTATCTAAAAAGAAGCCATTAACCAGGAGACTCTTATGGGTTAGTGACCTTAACAAATTGGTTTCGTAAACAAAGGAGTGACTTCTAGAGTAAAATTTGGTACCAAATTATTAGATATAGAATCCCTGAGTTCATTAAAAATGAGTATAATAAGTCAAAATATACAATTTTTCTACCCCTACATGGAAATGATCACATTGCCACGCCAGTAAACACTACACACAATAGCTCATTACAGCTTTATTAATTCCCGCTAGGCGCTAACTAAATCAGCTGATTTCGTGCCTTTCAATAAAATAACTTACTAACATCTGGTAATGCACCTATGAAAGTGCTTGGTTGTTCCAGTTATTAAACTACACAAAACCAGTCAAATAGTTAATTATTCATGGTTTTGTATGCTAGTATAGTTTTCATGTCTAATAGTAGGCCTAACGGTCTAGTTATATACAAAACGACAGAAAAAGCAAACATAAACTACATGTAATTTTATATACAACTAAAAAGTTGATCTGTGTGTTATGATAAGTTAATTATGGTGGTAGGTGAAATCTTGTATGTATTACGAGCAGTCATTGGCACTCTCTAAATGTATGGTTGCACTTAGTGGAAGCTTTGTGCACCCATCTACAGTTCTCAAGCGGCAATCACGTATGAGCCCAACCAAGCTCATATTTTTCCAAAGTTTTCCAGCCTTGAAATTTTTCAAGCTTTATTTTTATTAACTGCAATACCAGGCATGAAGATTTAAAATTCAAAGCAGTTGTATACAAAAATATCAATATCAGTTTGATAAAATAATGGTGCTATTTCATTACTTACCTAATAAGACTTTGGGGTTGTACAGTCCAAGTTGAACAGTTGGATTGGTCATCAAAGCCTTGTACATTGGGCCGTCCTTGTCTAGACCAGGAGATGTAGCAGCAATGCTGTCCTCTCTCTCACCACACAACCACTGACACTACAACATAGGGGTTGTGCTCTCTGTTAAACTTTGCTTAAAAAATATTAAGAGTTAGGCATACAACATATGAAAAATAAATGGTATCAGCATGAGCACATAGGTACTTCCTCCCATTAGCTTGTTAAAAACGTTTATAACAGGTAAGCAGTGATAGTAACAAATATGATAATGTTATGGGTAAAATCACAAAAATTGCTTTAAATTTTGATCTCTTTAACTTTTTCAGCATAGGGGGTTGTGCCATTTTCTTTAGAGCTAAAAGGACTAGCCTATAACGTACTCAATTTTACCTAAAATTGTTCAAGCCGTTTTTGTGAAAGTCCAACTTTCCGTTATTTTATGGGAAAATCACCGATAAAATAACAACAAAAAATGCCCCGAGATACCAACAAGATGAACAAACCAAATTTGGCCAAAATCGGACCATAGGTATTATCTGTAGCTCTATTTACATATCGACACTTACAGATATAACTTCCAAAACAACACATATTTTTCTTACAATCTCAAATTAAAAAATGTTCTAAAAAACAAGACTTTCTTCATATACTCTGAATAGGGGGAGAAAGTAAAAACCAGCTATGCAGTAGAGTTTTGTTGATGCGATGTTCAGTTATCCAATCGTCACTGTAAAATAGCATTATACGTGCATCAAAGTAACAATTCCTATTGCATACAATACAGTTTGTCAAACTCACCTATCCATGTTCTTGTCTTAGTCGCAGTACAAACAGAGACCAGAGGCTGAATGTGGATGGGTATTGCTTCATCTTAAATTTACAATTACAGCAATATCGTTTCTGTAAGTTGTTATAACTTTTAATTGGAAAAATCTTTGTCATATCAATGGACGATTAATTTATAGGTTAGATAATAGAGGAACTTTATTACAGGGTGTCTGCTACATTCTGGATAAAAAATTCATGGACAATTCCCGTACATTTAAGGACACTTTGCCGTAACCTTTGTCGGTGTCATTAGGCCTACCGGATAATTTTCCTGATTTGTCAAACTGTTAATCTTGTTATTCACTGTAGTTACCAGAGAGAAAAGTAAACAATAATAGATAAGAGTTAAAAATTTCAAAATAGAAATTTATTGAAAGTAACCAAACATAGGCCTACCTATACTTTAGGTAAAGCTTTTATAGTGTAACAGAGAAATGCAATCATTGTCTCCTGCGATAGCGACAAATATCTCCATCGGTCACGTAAACTTCATGCAGTAACATAGCTTATCCGATCCAGGACGATTAATTTGGCATGATTTGCCCTGGCACAACGTTAGGTTCTCGACTACTTTTGAAAAAAAATTTTTAATGCATACTGTTACTCAATTCTTAGTACAAAATCAAGGTATGGTTAGCGGCTATTAATAAGCAATAAGCACAGAGTAAGATTATTGTATTTTCATTTGCAAAGTTAATATCGACACATAGCAATCATTAGTTGTTTATCTTAGACTCAATTACATTTTCTTAATATATTTTACAGCTCTTTCAAGAATCAAAATACCCAGGCCTGGACCTAATTATTTAGGAGGGCCTATATAAACTGAGTAACAAATAATGAGGTTATAATAGCAGCTAAGTCACTATCATCATTCTAGTTCATAAGATTTAGATTGCTTAAAGCATACAACTCAATAAATAAATATATGGGAAACAAAACCTGAATAGCCAACAATATAAGACAAAGATACAGAAAATGCAATGACATAATTTGAAACCAAGCAGGCCTACATAGTGATAAAATATTAATGCAAACAACAATGCTTGTGGTTTTGTCAATTGAAAGATAAAATGTCCATAAAAAAGGAGTAAACTTACAAAATAAGACTGTAGATTATTTACATGTTTAATATAAAACCATAAACAGTCAAATTGAATCTTCAAGTCGAAAGTACAAGTAAGAAGTGGAATTTAACACATTATAAAGCTATTATTTTCAAGATAAAATAGGTTTGGGATCTAATAATAATTTTACCCTAGTAATAAAAAAAGAAGTTGTAAAGGAATAAAAGTGATACAACTTTTATGAGTTAGCTGCTGAGTCAACAGTTCTTGGAAGTACTTGACTTGACACTTGATTGTCGTGATAAAATATTAATGGGTTTGAGATTGCTAATGGGATTTTTATTGCATAATTACTCTAGTAATAAATTATGAAAATGTAAACAAACATCTGATAAACCTTTTATGTGCTCCTAACCAACTAGCGATCAATAAAATTATGGCCCATTAAAAATTTAAGGACATAGTCTGGAATTTAAGGACAATTCCTGTACATTTCATGGCCAGTAAAGATTTAAGTACAATTCCCGGTTTTCCCGGATTTCCCGGTTGGTAGACACCCTGTATTAATTTAATGATTTTTAACAAGTTTGACAATGTTTATTCATCTTCCAATTCCAACCATGTTGCTTGTACGTCCTCGCTGCAGCTGGATTAGAATTTAGAATCAAGAGTATATAATTAAAATCAATAATTAAAAAAAAAAAACATGTTTACTTACAGCAGCCACCTGGTTGTTGTTGGTAGCCCTGAGTGCCTCTATCACATCGTCCTGGCTAAACCCCATAGCAGTGAGTGCTTCTACCGCTCTACTGTTGGGCTCAAAGTGGCGTCGCTGGAAGTCCAACATGTTACGCAACAATCGCTCTATGATAGCCACCGGGTTATCACTCTCTTCTTCCGGGTCCAGCTTGGAGTTGTCTTCGTCCGGAATGTCCTTCACTCGGTGGCTGTTCTCCAGCAGCCACTCCATCGCTTCCACTTGACGGTTCCTTGAACAAAGAAGATTCGGATTAAGGTTGTCGTAAGAACTGTTTTAAAACCAAAACATTCATCACCAATACATATGAAATTTAATGGGTGTATTTTGATTATCACCTAGCCCCCATGGATTTTTAATTGATTTCATTAAACCAATGTCTTTCATCATGTCCAACATTTTAAACAATCCATTGAAAAATTCTTGGGACTACACATGCAGTAAAGATGCCACAGATACGTACCACTACACATGGTTTGCAAGTACCAGACCTGCCCGGGTTGAAATTTGTACCATTGATCGCACTGCTATCTCTTTGTTGGACAGATATAACACCTCATTGATAATTCCTAATAGTCCATGTCGCTAACAAAAGAGGGTTTGGGACATTGTGACTGAGTGGGACCCTAGCTACGCCACAAATATGAGGATAATAATCCGTTATTAATCACTAACCTACTGTAAAATGTGTACGATTTTTATCATATAATTTTTAATGAATAGTTTCTTATAGCTTAAAAAAAACAAAAAAAATAATATACCTACCTTTTTAAACGCAAGGCATATCTCGCTTGAACCTCAGTGAATCCCAGATCCACTAAATATTTGATTGCGTTCTCATCTATTTCTTTCTTATATTTGGCGTCAATTCTAGCAGCTATGCCAGAAAATATGACTTTAGCATCAGGTGTTTGAGCTAAAATTTTAGCTGAAGCTTCTACTAATGAATACAATACCTTTCGGATTTCAACCTGAAACTGGAAAATTTCAAAATCAAATAAGATTATGTTTTTGTGGTGATTTATTCTGATTTAAAAAACATTACCTTGAGCAGTGTAGCAGGCAGAGATACCTTTATGAATTGGTAGTTTTAGATTCAAATTACTCAAGAAATCTCTTGAGAGGGATTAAAAATCCCTCCCTGAACTTGATATCGAGTCAAGATCTTCCCTAGAATCAATTATATTAAACTAAAATTAATTGGTGAAATGACCGTTTCAGAATTGTTGCATCAGAAGCAGAAGATTTAGCGGCTTTTTCAGAGTTGATACTGCCAGTTTGTCTACATCTTCAATTTTTTCCCTAGTGCTTAATAACACTTAAGAATTACACTGAGTAAACAACTTAACATTTTGAAAATTTTAACTAGGCCTACACCTTAGTCCACAATGTACCAAATTTGTACATTTGAACATCTTTCAACTTCTAAGAAATTCTACTGCATACCTATACAATACCAATACCTCTTAGAGATTAGTCAAGCAGCGAGGTGCAATTATCAACTAAAAAATTCAAAGACAATACGTACACTGTCCTGACACTCCAAAGCAGGTACAACTTGAATTGTATTCTTTTTTGGAAGATTGGCAGTGGCTGCAAATATGTCTTGTACTGTTGGACCTTTGATATCATGTATTGTTAACTTGGCTGAGACTGATGAACCTATAGATATTCTTTCCGTCAGCAATATTTCATCTAAAACAGATCAACGATCAATTAGACTGATTCTGAATGCAATCTCTTGTAAATTTATTAAATATGATAGCCTATGTATTTGCCTTGCGAAACAAAGCTACACAAAGCATCTTACTCCATTGTAGAAAACGAGAAGTTAATTTTCCTTCAAGCATGTACATGCAATCGGCACATTAATTGGTGCTACCAATGTAAGAAATAAATTAAATGTAGGTCTTGAGGTTAAGGAGTTGTAGTAGGGTGTCTACCAATAGATCAAACTACAGTAGGCCTAAATTGCAGTGATTTTAAGGCGTGGGGGGGGGGGGGGACGATTTTGAAACCCACAATCTTTAGTACCAATAAGACAATACTTGAACAGTATACAGTGACTTACACATGAGATAGTCGGGAATATAATATTTTGCGTACGGTACCTAAAATAATATAAATAATGTGCCATAATGATTTAGAGCTGGTTGCCTGCTGCCAAAATAAGCTCGCTCTATAATTCTACACTACGGCCTAGCCTAAAAATTTAATTGTTGCCCGTAGCAAGGCAAAACAAAAGGCATGTTTCTGAAACTTTATTTTAGTTAGGCCCGATTTTTGTGTGACTTTTGAGATCTTAAAATGAAAATATGTTACTTCTCAGTGACTTCCTGCACCCCCTAGTAAAATCAGCGACTTTTCGGGGACGTCCGTACACACCCTATGTAGGCTACTGATAAATAACCCCTAGGCCCTATTTAGATGAAACACACAATTTTCATAGATGTAGGTACCAGTAATTAGAGAACATTTGACAAATTTAGAAAAAAATTTAACCTCTCATACCGTATGTTGGTTTTAAGTTAGGGGCCTGCTGATACGTTATGAGTTAACCTATGCAATTAAAGATTGCCAGAATTACCATTAGACCGATTAGGTCACAGCCTCTTGAACAATAATAGGCTACTTAATATTTTTATAACAAAAATGTAATTTTAATTTTATAAAATTAATAGGCCTAATTTGCCACGGTCATGGGTGACGATGATGATTGTACCCATGATTGCAGGAGATGTTCACGAGTTTGCCCCCATAGAGGGGATGTTCTACCTGATTGGCGGGGGCCAATCTGGTTAATTTGAACTAGGGCCTAGTTTAGGCATTCCTAACCCTGGGGTTTTGTTTTCGTAGAGGTACGCGTCCAGTAACCGGACGTGGATTAGGCGTCCGGCAGTGACGTCACCGGGTTGTGGGGGCCCGTAACACCATTACCGCAATGATAAGAAGTGCAGCCATCAGTGTTCGTGGTGTAGTGGATAGAGTACTTGGCTGATGTACAATAGTTATCCAGATCGAATCCCATCGGTGACACTAAGTTTAACTTTTGTCAAAGATTTTGCTTAGAATGCCATTTCTTCTTAACTCTAATCTCTTAATATTTTGTTAAACTTAGACTTTGAGGCATTTATAATTTTATTTTATGAACACAATTTAACCTTCATTCGATTTTTCCATTATCAGCAAGTTTGGTTAGTTAGGTTAGGATACAACATAATAACTGCCGGACGCCTCCGGCTGTCCGGTTACCAGACGTGTATCCCCTGTGTTTTGTTTTCCCAACACAACTTTAGACCATCAATATACCGGTAACACAATCAATGCCTGTGACATACAACCAAATCTCATCTGGAGTCTTAGGCCTACTAAGGTACCGATAGGCTACTTTAAAAATTGAAATAATTTGCATAGGCCTAGTTCTTACCATAGTTTGTAAGCCCTTCATCCACTATTGAACACTGGAGGTTCAAAACCTTTTTCTTTGAGACTGATATGAACTTGAACTTTGAAGTTGATTCTTCTTCACCCAATAAACTTGCTAGATCTAAGAAATGGCCTAATGCCATTTTTAGTAGATCAGAGAGCATTTTATTGTGGTCAATATTAACAACCCATATTTCACCCAAATATATTATGTGCAACGTTATTCTATTTGTGTCTGTAACGTCCATATTTAACGGGGGAGTCGGCGAGCTAAGATTACCAGAGTCTGGATTAGAATCATTTCTGTCAGAGCCAACCACTGATGTACGACGAGTTGCTTGTCTAGATTCACTAAGACGTTTATAGATTTTATCACGTAACCAACCCAGCATCAAAAACTTTAATTTATAAATAATACTTTTTAAGTGATGAAAATTGTTACATTGCAATATTTACCACAAAATTAAAAAAATTAGCGATCAGAAACAATGCAGTATTCAGAATATCAACAAAACATTGCACTGGTTACAGAAGACTAGGGAGAGTGCAGACGACAATTTTAAAATGACAGATGTGTGATCACCAACACCAATCAGAATTGTCGAGGAAAGTAGGTAGCTATTGCACAAGACATAGAGATATTCACTAGAACTCTTTACCGTACTATGTAAAGTGTGGTTATTAATAATACTAAATCCCAAAGTAATAATTTTTATTCGTTTGTACGCTATTTATTTATATTTTTGACACTGTTCATAGGGGAACAGTACCATGTAAACTTCCATGGACGACATTTTGGATTCTTTAGACTTTAAAGGCCCCCCGTGCAATTCCCACTAGTAGAATTTGGTAGAATTGGCAACGTCGCAAGTGGTGTTGTTCAGCGACAGACGTCCCATAAGATAACATGGCAGACAGGTGACATCAGCTCATTAATTCGCACTTTATTGATTTAAATTTAAATTTATGAACATAAATTTATTAAAATATTGAAAATAAAACCCACAGAATTGAAAATGGAAACAATATGAACTAAAATCTATATCTCTGTAAATTTTTAAGCAGAGTCAATATTGTCATAGTCCAGTAACCAATCTTTCGTAAATACACAAATACCATTAGCTGCTTCCAAACAAAAACAGCTGTTACAACACCACTTGCGACGTTGCCAGTTCGAAGGCCGCGGCCTGTAGTTAAAGGCGGCCGTGGCAGTTCCCCGGGTTAGAATAGGTTTGTCTCTTTTCCAATCTTTTTTCCGGTCTGTCGTAAAAGGTTAAACCATGAGCATGGGTGACCCGATGCTCATAGCTAAGAGTCCCTCCCTGGTATAGCGCCAATGTTGATGAGTATCGGTTGACGCATGTCTTGCTTTGCATTGCCGAAGGATACTCTAAGTGAGTCGTGAGGAGCTTAGCAACTTCGGTCCATGATCAGGAAGTGCGACATGGTTGGAGAGATCGGTCTTCTCGTATCGACGCCCATATATACGTTCCCTTCGGTCACTCGTCGTCGAAACGTAAACCCAAACGTAGGTTGGGTCTAGAAGGGCTGGGGTGGGTGTTGTGTCCCTGAGGTTATACCAGTTCCTGGCTGTTTCCGAACCATCATTTACCCTGAAATTTGATCCTGAACCCATGCCGCCGCTAATAATCCCACAATCTAAGAAATTTTATCAACTAAAATTTTCATAACCTATTTGTGTGATTTCTAGGTACAACACCAGCCTGTCCAAAGGAGATTTAAATCTCCATGGGAAGGGTTTGATGCTGATCAGCAATGGTAAGGTGACCGAGATATGCCGTCGTCAGACCTCTTTGTTTTCTAGGTACTGCCGGGAAACTGTTTAAAAAGTTGGATCCACTCCCGGCAGTAAAGATTTGGAAAAGAATGAGGTAAACAATTAACGTGATATCACAAAGAGCAGTCATGAACAACAACCATTTTGAACAAACATTTTGAGTGGAAGAGCAACAACTATTTCGGCCACAGAGTCGTGCTTCTTGTTAAGCTATATAGATATGTCAAGAATGTCTGAAACTCAGCGAGATGGGCGGTGTGTTGTATGCATTCTGCGTTCCAGCGTTGAGGCTCATTTATATCTGTGCTGCAGATTCACTGTGTACAAAAATAAAGATAGGCCGCAGATTATGGATGTCACTTCCAGTGGCACGCAAGATTTGACCCTCGGCCTAGATCTGTGAAACGCTGTCAATAAGTGCCTAAGTCAGCCTTTTTAAATTCGATATGCCGGAGAGGACCGTTTTAGTTGTGTACACCTATCACGTCACAGCCCTCCCTAGTGGAAGACATCAATAGAAATCAATAGAAAAAATCTATTGATATCACTAGATGCTTAGTGATATCAATAGATGTTCATGGATATCATTACAAGTAAATACAAACAAATAGACATCACTGAAAACTTAGTCAATACATATCACTAGACATCTATAAACATAAAATATATCAATATAGATCATTAGAGCAAACAAATCGTTCATTGATATCAATAGAGAATATTTTTTAAATATGTTAGATGTAAATATAAATCAATAGACATCAATACGGGTAAATAAATTTCAAAATATCTCTAAAATGTATCACATATGAGCATTATGGATTATACAAAATATCAATGTAAAGTGGTTAAATAAACAGTACCGGTAATAAAAATGTTATTTTTTGAAAAAAGGAAAAACTCTAGTTTTAGGTCATAGACGTTAGCTGAGGTACCTAAAACTCAATATAATTTAAAAATATATCATTTTAAAATTGTGGTAAAACAGTTACAACTTGTATTAAAACTAATTTTCTTAAACTTCAAAAAACTGATTGTAAAACAATTTTAAAATTGTTGTAAAACAGTTACAGCTCGTATTGAAACTTATTTTACGCCACACTACATTATTTTGACGAACTTTCCACGCAAGGAATTAGTCCAGAAAACAGCTGTTTGCCGCCAGCTTATTCAAATGGGGTTTCATTGCGTACTACTGTGCTGCAATGAGTTTTGCCGGACACCAATCAGCTGATTATACTGTACTTAGGTGGCAGTGAGTAGTTATAAACAAAAACATAACCTCTCTTGGAGGTTATGACTAGTGATTTTTAGTCCTTTAGTTGGTGGAAATAAGGATTTGTACGGATTTAGTAGTATATGGCGTAAACTATCGTACGTAACTCGTCCAAAATGTGTGTACCGGACTCGTATGGTAATCCCGTACTCGACTTCGTCTCGCACGGGAACGACCACACTCGTCCGGTAAACACTTATTTTCAGGACTAGTAACGTAATATACTATTACCTACGACCGTTTTTTAAAGTAGACATTTCAGTCCAGTTCTTAGAATTGAAAAGTTTCACTTTACAGCTGTTTACTTTCATATCCGCATAGTTTCATTTCATATCCGCATAGTTTTCTCATATCCACACAGGTAACGGACCAATGAGGTTCAAGTATTGAGAGAAAAGAATCAAAATTGTAGTGCTGCGAACGTCAACTAATCAGCTGATCAGCTGATCAGTTGACCAATTTAATTGTTGGCCCGACTTGTTCATGTTGATACTCGCGTATTCTTAATTAAGTTGGTGGAAGTCCAAAAATAAATGTAATATTTGCCGAATTGTACCTGATACAATATTATTTATGGTAAGAATGCTGCTAGCAATGTAATATTTAACGAAGTTTAACAAACACGTAATTACAGGAAATCACCTGATTACAACAAGTCGTTGCATCACTTTCAGTGGCAATGACAATACACGAAAACATAACCTCTCTAAAAAGTTATCATTAGTGATTGTTAGTACAGGGTGGGGCAGGGAAGTATCCCTAATTTTAAAGGTAAATTAAAAGACAACCAAAAATGTTAGAGCCAAACTTTTTATTGAGATTAAAAGGTTACATCTGGGAGTTTATTTTAATATAACTTTACTTGGTTTTAAACAGCATATCCTGCAAGTTGTGTCCCTAATCTTAAATGCATTACTGTATTCTGGTTCTGGAGTTCATTATAACTTTGTGAAGCATTTGTTGTGGAAAGAGGCAACATTCAAGGTGAATTGCATCCTTCAAGGCATCTAGGGTCTTCCCTTGAACTATCCTAGGCTTAGCATCACTCCAATAGAGCACATTCTGCTTATTTACCCGCTCCAGGAAAATGGAAGTGTGCCTCGTCACTAAACAAAACCCGAGCAGCATGAGGTAGTCCCGCAATTAAGATTTCACATGACTGCATTCGTTGTTGCCAGTCCCTTTGTGTGAGTTCATGACAACTACCCTCTTGTATAGATGGAGGTGTAAGTCCTCATGGAGAATACGAGGCACAGTACGATTAGACAACGCCAGCGCGGATGCATGCTTACAAGGAGAACTTCGAGGAGACTTCAAAATCGATCTTCTGACAAGGTCAATGTTTTCAGGACTCCGGACCGTTCTTTGAGTTCCAAATAAACTTCGCAATACACCACCACATACACGAAAGTAATTCACCCACACCAAATTGTAACAGCTTTGCGACAGGCCACCCGATAACCCGACAGCCAATGGTAGCTGCACAGCAACAATAGACAGAATTTTGAAAAAAATACATCTCGAGTGAAAAAGCACATTGGTCACTCGAACAAGCCATATCTACTACTGATAGTGATATTTTTAGAAATTCCCAAAACAAAAGCTTCATTTGAGCCTAACCCCATTCCTCCAGCACACCCCCACTACTCACAGTACCATCTTAAAAGTAGGGATATTTCCCTGCCCCACCCTGTAATTAAATCCAGATTGATAGTAATTAAAAAACCGTCGTAGGTAAAGTAGTGTACGCAACTCGCGTTATTAGTCTTTACGACACTCGTAGAAGTTTTTAAGGCACGAGCCAAGGCTCGTGCCTTAAATTTTCTACTCGTGTCGTAAAGACTCACTTAACGCAATCGTTGCGTAAACTACTATTTTTCAACTGCAAAAAACTTATTGTTAAACTTTTTTAAAATTGTTTCAATCTTATATCAACATTGTTGTAGTATGAAGTTTAAATCAAAATGATTTAAAATTGTTATACAACAATTGTAATACAGCTTTCGACAACTTTTAACAATTTCTTTCTTAATGGGTTATTGTTAGGGATAAAATTCACTTACAAATTCATTATTGAATTCCTTATTTCTAGAAATCAATAAAAATAAATTGTATTGACACTATTCACATCACCCAAGTAGCAAGAAATCAGTTTGAACTGGTAATAAAACAGTTTTGAAACATGTTAAAGCATAGATACATGCTTGAAATGACACAAATGCCATTGAAAAATCTTTTTTAAGTTAAATTATGAGGCCTAACACAGCTTCTCGCTATCATTACTTAGACAGACATGAAGTGTGCGTGGCGTAATGGCTTAGTCAATTGGCTACCATGCTGGAGTCTCAGGTTCAAATCTCGGGATGGTCAGGAGACTTTTGCCAAGAATTTTATTACTTTTTCATTTTTATTTTATTTTTAGTGCATAGTAGATGTGATTTAATGTGTTGATACA